CCAAATAAGGAGAGATTGTCTTTAACTAAAAAATAATTTAATATTATTAAAAATTAAATATATATTTGCATAGGATGCCTTTAGGAAACTGGAATTTTTAAAAGAACCCCTTGATTAGAAGGCATGAATTTTCTAAAAACATGGAAAATTATAATTATATAAAACGAGATAGTAATTAAGTAACTTTAAGGATTTGGCGAAGAAGGTAGGACCAGGCAAATGAAAGAAATTATCATATTCAAGGGAAAGGTCTAACAACACCAAAATAAAAATAAAGGTGAATTTATAGTAAGGGCGTAGCCAGAAGGTCGATTTCGGGGAGGGAGCATCAGCCCTCTGGCTACGCCCTTGATTTATAATAATTAACAACCTCTTGATTTAATTCATCTCCCAATTTTAATGAACGAATGTCAAGTTGCTGTTGTTGTTTAGGTTGTCCACAAATATCAGTTATTAAAATAATATCCAACATCAAAACTTCATCAGTTGGATCTGACAATAAATCAAGCAAAACTGGGAAGAATCTGTCCATATAACGAAACATCTTTTTTTTAATTAAAAATAATTTTTTAAATAATTAAAAAAATCGAACATTTGTTGGATTTGTAGAATGTAAATGTCTTATCCAATTTAATGTTGCTACTCTCGTCTCTGTCCTTTCATGCCTCAAATGGGCTAAAAGAACTTCAACAACAGCCTCTACAGGAATTTGTGAATCTGTTTTAACTAATGATGTTAATCTTTGATTTAAATCATTTGGAAGAGAAAGCGGTCGAGAACCAGCAAAATCATTTGACATGTTGTCAAAAAGATAAGGCAAAATAGAGATAAGAAAGGAAGGGAGACTTGGAAGAATTTTGTCGCCATAATAAATATTAATCTGTAGAAAAAGAAGAATAATTGATGTTAAAATTTAATATTTTATAAAATGTTTGGCAAGAATTTTTAAATTACTTTGGGTATCGATTGAATAAAAAACAATTTTTAAATGGGGAAACTTTCGTTGACCAATGAAAATCAAAAGAGAGCCAGCCCTTCAATGAAAAATTAAAAACCTGATTAAGCCACTGAATTGCAATATCACGCACAATAGGTACTTGAGAAGTTGCTTGAATAACCAATACATTAATAACACCCTCTAATTTAACCTTTAAATAAAAAGAAATAATTTTAAAGAATAAAAAAATTAACATTGTCACTCCGTTTTGGATCCAATTTATTTTGCATTTCTGTTAAAACGGAAATAGTAATTTCATGCACAGCAGGTGAGGGATCTTCCAATGCTTTAAAAACTCCATCCAAAACCTCTGGGAAATATTCGCTAACAGAAAAATCGGGCACAGTTAAAATTGAGAAAAGCTAAAAAAAATAAGTAAAATATTATTTATTAAAAATTATATGGAATTTTTATCTTTTAAAAAATTTATTAATAAAACTAAAAGATCTCGAAATTTAGAAAATAAGGATGGAAACGTTGTGAAAAATATTTATAAACCAATTTTCTCAATTTTTAGAAATAATTATTTACTAGACATTTTTCATTTAGAAGTCGATAAAAATGGGGCCCGAAAAAGGTGACACAACCGTCTGCTGAACTCGAAAATGGCAACCCTATTTAGAACAGATATCTAAAGATTATCTCATTTCAATTCGATAAACTTAAATGAATAAAAATAAAATCAAAAGAATTTTAAAAATATCATCAAATTAAAAATTACCCAAGATATAATAAATCTTTTATTTGAAGAATCAACAGAATATATTCTTTCTCTAATTACAACCATTAAATTTTGTAAATCGAAAGATTTTGTTGAAATAACAATTTCCTAAAAAATAAATAATTAAATTTAATAAAATATTCAAAAAACCTTTACAAGTCTGTCTAACAATTCAGAACCATTTCGCACATTTTGATCAGGATCGGAGGATAAGTTCCAAAGAATATTAAAAAGTTCGTCGAATTTTACTAAAACTGATGCTCTACAGACTTTGACAATATTATACAAAGACTAGAAATAAAAAAAAGTTAATTTGAAATTATTTTGAAAATTATAAAATTATTTATCATTAAATTTTTGCAATTAAAAAATCGAATATGTATAGTTAAAGAAACTAATATCTAGAACAAAAAATATTCTTTTTAAGTAAAATTAATTTTTCTTAAATAAAATTTTCCTAAATTTCTTCTTTAAATAAAAATGGAGGAAGAGAGGTTTAGGCACTACTTATTGTTAAGCTGAGGGTGTCGGGCCTTTTTTCGATTTGAAGCCGGATTTATTTTGATTTTGGTGTCAATCGGCACAGCTCGACGAGCTTTATAAATACTCTTTGATAGCTGACCATTTTCTACATATTTGTCGAAAAAAGACCACGACACCCTCATCTTAAGTAGTGCCAACATTTAATTTAAAAATTTAAAAGTAAACAAACTTCACAAGCAAAATATCTAACGCGAGAATCATGGTCCAAAAAACACGTAAAAACAGGTTCCAACAATTTAACTGCATAAATAGCCGAATGCTAAAATAACAAAAAATTAAAAAAAACATTCAAATATTTATTCTAACTTTACTCCCTAAAGCAATAGCTGTAGCAGCTAACCCAATTAATCCGCCCTTTCTCATATTCCCATTTGGTGTTGTTGTTAATTGTTCTAAAACTGAAATTATTTTTTCTACATCCGCCATATTGTTTGATTTAATTAATTCTTTTGTTTGTCTAAAAAAAGAATTTTAAATTAAAAAAAATTAAAAAAACTTTTCAATTTCCAAAGCTGCTGCCTTTCTTTTTTCATAAAGTTTGTCAGTAAGTGTTCTAACAACAGTCTGTGTTAGTGGAGAATATTGATTCTCAGACATCTAATACTATGCCATATAAAAATATTAAAAATGTCTGAAAAGAAATTTAATTTAAAAAAACTGATAAAAATTTAAAAAGAATAAAAATGGGGGGGGGGGGGGGGGGGGGGGTTATTTTCAATTTTTGGCTTTCGTGTATATGTTTTATTTTTGCTTTTTATTCTTTTTTGTTTCCTTTTATTGTTTTAGAGAGATAAACAACAATTTGCATAACCAAAGACAATTATTCAATGCCCAAAATAATTTTTAATAAAAATTTTCTTTAATTTTTCGGTTTTGTTTAGTAAAATCGGTTTGTTTATTAAAATGATGAAATGTTGTTGTTATGCAATAATGGCATAAATAATCTGTAAAGAAACATGAAAACAATTAATTGACTTGAATTAGTATGTCAAAAAGTCAGCAAGACTCTTTTGTCTTTACATTTATTTTCAGTCTCAGCACAAACCCAAACCTTTAGGCTTGCTTGTCAATAGAGTCTCAGCGACTTAGCATCGAAAAGCCTTTTTCTATGCCATAACTTTTTTTGTTTCGATCATTTCCAGAAATTTTCTTTATCAATTAGAATCTATGTTTGTTTTTATTCTTTTTATTAACTTTATGAAAGGATCCGATCATTTTTTAGAAAGTTACACCCGCCTAAGTATGTTAAATCACGATTATTCGCAGTTAACGGCTCCTAACTTTTTTTAAAGACGGTAAAACTAAACAATTTCTATGAAAAAATAACCAGCACATCCAGAGCTTTTAATTAAAGCAAAAATTATTTGGATTGATTTAAAAACAAAAAAGTTATATCCCAAAAACTTTCGTTTTGATGCCATATTTTAAGACTCTTTCGTTACCTGGTTACTTTTAGCCTAAACCTTTTGAAGCCTAAACCTTTAGGTTTTTGAACATTTGAGTCTCACCACGTCTTCAATTTTTTTTTAATTCTAGCTTTTTTAATTGTTTGTTCTTCTTAATTAGTGTGTAAAGATGAACCAAAACTGATATTCTGGAAATAGAAATCCCATAAATTAAGAATTACATAGATAATTTTCGAATTTATTTATAAATTCCTTGGAGAATTTCATTCCTGGATGGAATAGAAGCGATGTTGGAATTTCGTCAACAACAGCCTCAACCCAAACGGCCCTCTTTAGGGCCACAAATTTAATAAGTGCGTTGAGGACCGAAAAAACTCAAGAAAAGTCTAGAAAAAAAATGTTCATCAGATCGTAGGAACTGAGAAAAACCACAAAAATCGCAAGAAAACTGATTTTCTAGGTCCGAAAATTTATGTACTCTGAATCGTCCCCCGTACTCTGAATGGCAGACTTTGAATTGTCCCGTATTCTGAATTGGCGGTAGGGGACCATTGTGTACCGCCGTTTGTGTACCGCCGTTTGTGTACGGCCGGTTGTGTACCGCCAGTTGTGTACTTGGCCGTTTGTGTACCTGGCCAGTTGTGTACCGCATTATATAGGAATATAATAAGGGAATATAGATTATATTCCCCAACTTAGAATCTTATTAGAAAATTCGAAATGCAAATTCGACCAAAATTGCCATGATTTAACAAATTTGGACAAAGTTACGATTCAAAAATAAACCAGTAAACCTATGGGCGTCGGCGAGACGCTTGTGCAAAAGCCCGCGCTTCGCGCGGGCTTTTGCGGCACGCGTCTCGCGGGAGTCAACGGTCGCTGGGTTCCGTACCAGTAACATAAACCTATTCCTTTTATCGATTTTTTGAGTTGAAATGCCGACCTATTCTTCGTAGCAACACAAAAAGTTCTTTAAGTGAAGATACGGCCTAAAATCCCCTGATAAAGTAACCTTGGGTCTAATAAGATTCTGAATTGGGTGATATAGTCTATATTTCCTTACTATCTTACCAGCAATACTTTCGTTCTGGGATATATAAAGACAAAAATTCTTAAAAATGCGGGTACACAAACGTCCCCATTTGGGTAGGTACACAACCGGCCGTACACAACCGGCCAGGTACACAAACGGCAAGGTACACAACCGGCGGTACACAACTGGCCGTACACAAACGGCGGTACACAAACGGCGGTACTCAATGATCGCGTTCCGCTGAATTGGCGACTCTGAATCGACCTTTTCCCATCATTTTCTAAAAAATTTCTTAAAATTATGGGTCCTCGTGGAGAATCTCGATCAAATCAACCAAAAGTCCCTGGAAACGTAGATAATACTGAAGAAGATGAAAATGATCAAAATGATGGATGGCGGATAGGTTTTGATGTTGAAATGAGGGGAATTGGAATTGAAAGAAATTCAAATAGTTCAGGTTTATTTTAAATTAATTATTCAAAGTTTCGAATAAATTCCCTTCAGAAGACGATGAATCTTCAAATGAATTAGAACAACAAAATGGTTATCAACAACTTCCAACTTCCTCTAATAATAATACAAGTTGGATTCCGACAACACAAAGACTTGATTTGCCTGAAGCTCCACCCGTTGAACATATTAAAATTGAGCATCAACCAAATGATATTTCATTGGATAAAGGTTTTTTGGAATTATTTTTGTAAAAATAAATAATTTATAATTTAAGATAAAATTGATCAAATAAAATCAATAATGATTAACATAAATGGTACTTTAATTGAAAATATTCCACAACAACCCGAATGGTTAAAAAATGTTGATGACAAACAATTGGGAGAATTAATTCGAGAACTTGCAAAAAAATAAAAATGGATTTCCGGGAAATTTTCACTTTCATGTTTTGATTTTCATGTTGGTATTTATTGTGTTTTTCCTTTACATAATTTAAAAAAATTTCCCTGTAGTCATATTCATTCACTCTTCCTTCAATAATTTACTTTTTAATTGTAACCGTCTTTGATTTAAAAAAATAGCATCGATTTATTCAGCCATTTACAAATAACAAGTCAAGGCAGAGTGGGTGAATTAATGTACTACATGGAAATTTTTTAAAATTATGTAAGGAAAAAATGGCTATCCATTTCGTACTTCAACTAAATTGCGGACTGGGGTGGGGACGCAATAAGTACCATTTGAGAGGTCAAAGATTTATACTTTTTCTCGATTTTTTATTTTATTCCGTATAATAAATTTTTATAAACAAATTTTTAATAAATTCTCATTTACTAAAATATTGTTTATCGAAGGAGGCGCCAATAAATTATTTTAATTTTTTTGTTTTTAAAAGTATTTTGTTTGTAAATAATTTCTTATTCAATATTTTTTGTTTTTAGTCGTTTTATTTTTATTTTAAAAATATTTAGAATGAGTAGTAGCTATCATTCACAAGATTTAAGTGAGCCAAGTGAAAATTCTGGTGATGATGGTTTTAGTGAATTACGTGATATTATTGATGAAATGGGTTATAGCATTGAAAATGATGAATTATGTGAACTTGAAAAAGGTTTTTTGTTTGAATAATTAATGAAAATTGTTCTTTTTTTGAGAGTATTCAGTATATTTTTATGATTTATTGTTGGGAGTAGTCTTTGATAAAGATCGGCACGTGACAGGATCCTGCACAGAATTTTTCAGGATCCTGTCCGAAATCCTGCCTTTTTTCAGTTTTCAGGATTTTTAGGATTAATCCTGCAGGATTCTGTCCTGTTCGAAATTTTAAAACCCAATCCGAATACAGGATCCTGCAAATACAATTTTACCGATCTCTAATCTTTTCTTTTCAGTTTTTCTAATATTAAAATTTTTTACCCGCTTCTATTGTCTGAAAATTTATTAACACACTAATTAATGTATTATTTTTTTCAAGATCTTCGATTAATTGAAGAAAATGTCGACATTTCCGATACTCGACTATTTTCTTGTTTCTTAGGGGGGCCTGATGGTTCTGCTATTTTCGATCAAAGTTTATTTCATCTTTCTTCTGATTTGGCTGCTCCAATTCCAAGAGGACAAAAGGTGTTTAAAAATATTTATTTCTTAAAAAATTTTTTTTGTTTAGTCCTCTGATGGATTACCTCCTGGATTTAAAGAATTGTTGGATTATGGTCAGGAACGTTTAGATGAAATAGTTGCAGACATTAAAAAATATGAAAGATTGGTTAGTTTAAAAAAGTTTTACGTTAGAATAGGTTTGTTAAAATTTGTTAGATTGGTGGCGGCTTGAAAAATATCAAATTCTTTAATCTAATATTGTCAAACCTTTTTATTTTTAGATTGAAGAAGGTGAGAGGATTCCTGAAGAGTTTAGACAACAGGAAGGTGTTCAAGAAAGTGTTCAACAACAACAAGAACCTTCGCCTTCAAGAACAGAGGTTATTAATCAAGAGAAGGAAAATGAACGTCCAGAGAATACGCGTAAAGCAGCACTTGATCCAAAAGAAGAAACTAAATTAATTAATCAATTTCTTCGAGCAAATGGTTATTAAAATTTATTTTTAAAATATTTAAAATTAATTTTTAGCTCTTCGTCCAATTCAATGTCCAGAACCAGGCCGAGCACCTTTTAAACATTGCCAACAACTTAAATTACAACAATATCGTTCTGAATGGGAAAAACAGCCTCCCCCGGGTGAACAAAAACGATTGGCTTTGCGTTGGAAAATTCGTGAAATTATGTTGAGGAGAGATATGTAAATAAATTATTTTTAAAAATATTTTTAATTAAATAATAATTTTTAGTCCACAGCTGTGTTTGGTTGAAGAAGAGCGAAACAATAATGATGGTAAAAGACAAAGAGTTTTACCCGAATGGAAGCCATAAAATAAATAAAATACATATATGTAAATTAACAATAGCATGTTTTTTGTATTTTTATTAAAATTAAAAATTAAATTTTTTGTTTAATTTTTGTTTTTTTTATCAAAAATATTTTTTATATTTGTTCGTACGGACTGTAATTTTAAATTTATAAAGATTTCTAAAATAATGGGGCTTAGCAACGAATCTCGATTTAATAAACCAAAAAGACCCAAAAATGTTGACTATAGCGTAGACGATGAAATGAAAGGTGTTGGAGTTGAAGGAAATTCTTCAAGTGCTACAGGTTAATTTTTACTACTTCAAAAGGTATTAGGAAGTAACAGTTTTAGAACATTTAAAGATTTGAATGTAAAGTTAAAAATCGGGTTCAAGTAGCACTCATTTAGACCCTTACAGTGGGGCCGCCATCTTGCCTCACCTCTCGGACAGGAATTTAAATGTTCTTGAGAATTCAAAAGTTGATGCTAGGCTAAGCGAGATTGGACCAGAAATAGATAAAAAAGCGGTAGTGTATTGACGTAAAGTCGGGATCACTGTATTAATAGAACTTTTGTCGAGAGTCAATATTTTCTAATATTTATTATTGCATTAAGAAATAAATTTTATATTTAATTTCCCATTAATTTTAGAAACCCATTTAAATGGCGAAAAAGAACCGTTTAGTTTTCTTGCAATGATGGGGCGTTCAACAAAAGTAAGGCTTTTATTTAATTTTGAAATATTTACAAAAAATTTCCTTTAAGGTTGCAGATGATTCAAGTCTACAAGCGAAGGCAGAGATTGGGAATATTTCATTATATGGAGGGTCTGAAAAATGTTCTCCTTCATTTTTTGTTGACGAAAATGATGAATTTGTTAAGAAGTCTGTACAAGCATTCTGTAGAAAAAATTCAAAAGAAGAAATATACGCTAATTTTAACAGAAATAGAGGGGCTGTTATTAATGTAATTAAAAATAAAAAATATTTTTTTTAAATTAAAAATTTAAGTTTTATAAAAGTGAAAAAAAGGCGGCAATGAAAAATAAAAGAAATCACCAAAAGGGAGATAATAATAGTTCGTTGACAAATGAGAAAATGAAAGTAGAAAAGAATGAAGAATAAAATGAATAGAATAAATAAAGAATATTTTTATTTTATTTCTATTCAAATTTAATTTTTTAATGAATTGATAAATGTTGTGTTAATCTGAATGAGTGCCGGAAATTTAGGTTCTGGAAGGTTAGGTGCTAACTTTTTAGGATTTTGAGTTCCAAGTAAAAAGACGGGATGTTGGGCTCTAATTTTTCTTTTCTCCTAAATACGGTAAAGCTATCTTGCTATAGCTATTTCTTCACTTCGGCTAGCGCAAAAGGTTAGTTGGCGGCTGGGAGTGAACCAGCATCTTCAGTAGGTCGGACAGATTAGATTAGACCGGACCATTACACCACGCCGTCTACTGCACAGCCTTAGGATTATAAACAATTTATAGACACTTTTTAGTATTTTTAAGTTTTTTAATATACAAAAGTAGTAAGTGAGAAAATTTATGATTAAATAGTTTTTATTAGGTAAAAAAATTTTTTTTTTAAATTATCTTAAGTTCATAATACATATTTATTCTTAAATAAATTTAATATTTTTCAATACTCTAAATTTTTAAAAAAATATTTTGCCTAACAATAGAAAATACAAATTTAATTGAAAGAGCACAAATACTTTTGTGAACGGAAGTAACTGAATTGTGTCCACTCCAAACTTAGGTTGTTATTCTGTTTTTAATGTATTTTATCTGGCTGGCGCGACCTTTTTAATATTACATATTCATAAATTGAAATCCCCTCTTTTCTATTCAAAAATTTATTATTGTATTTATTTATTTTAGATTTTTCCTTCCAAATAAATTTAGGACAACTTTTATTTATTTTCATTTCTTTTTCAACTAGCAAATTTTTTTCTTTTTTTTCTTAGCACATTTTAAGTAAAATATTTTTAAAGGGGCATTGGATTGAGTTATTTCCAGATTTCCTCCATCTCAAATTTTTCGCACCACCGAAAATTTATGGAATAAAATATAAGAAAGAGTGGGCAAGTGAATAAAATTATATTTATTAATAATTTTACCTCATAAATAAATTTTCTGTAAAAATCTTGATATAACAACTTGTTAATAAACCATAGCAACTAAAAGATGACACTTTTACACTTTTAAAAGGCTACTAATATATTTTAAAAGTCTTTAACACATTTATTTATTTATTTTGCTAGTCCACTATTAATGACCATTTCATATATTATTTATACACCAAAAATATATTGCTTTCCCTCTCATATTGTTGCTAGTCCTAAATTTTCGGTTGACTTATTTCGATGTATTTGGAAGGATTTTTTGCTCCTTTGTATATTTTTGCAATTTTTTAGTTTATAAATAAATAAAAATATATACTTCGATTTTTGTCCTTTATTTATTTCTAAAAATGAAATTAAAGTTTTTTAAGATTAAAGTCTCTAAAATAGCCCTCGAGGGCTATTTTCCGATCGACCTCCAGGGGAGGGGGGGGGGGATATTTTCGCGGAAATACGGAAAATTATAGCCTTGATTTGAAAATAATTTTTATTTGATTTTAAAAATATTATACCTTTCAAATCCCATCTTAAAATTAAATGTTTTTAAAGCGAACGATTAAAATGGTTTAATATGAAACAGCTGGCCTTAAGGGCAAACATTGAATGAACTAATTTTAAAGTAAAAGTTACCCTAAAATATTTTAAAAAATAAATAAATAAATACCCTTTTTCTCTCTTTTTTTTGAATTTTTTATATAAATAATAAATAGATTAATAGATTAATTAATGAATACTTATAATAAATAAATAATTAATCACATATATAATTATGATTATTTCCAATTTATTGCTAAGATTAACAACAATCTTTTTTACTTTTAATTTTATATTGATCTCTACAAGCATCGAAACAGAAAAACACCCTCCCAATACAACCTCAAAAGTTTTAAAACTCCTCGAATCCTCTACAGTAAAAATATCCACCACCAAAACTACTATACCCACAACTTCAACATATTCCAAAATTGGTAATAAAACAATTACAACAAAAAAATATAATTTGACAGTAACAATCAAAACTAGTGAGAGAATTAAAACAAATACTACTAGTACAACTACTATATTAATTCCTTCTACAACTAAAATTGTTAAATTAAATTTAGAATCGAATATAAGTAATTTATTAAATGAAAAACAAAAAGAATTTAAAAATGATAAAGAAAATAATAATAATGAAGAGGAAGAAGAAGAAGCGGAGGAGGATGATGATTGGCCGGCAATGCCGATGTTTAAATCTAACTTGAGGAAACCTGTAAATTTAAAATCAAAAGTTGAAGATGGAGGAAATAAAAAAGAAGAAAATAATTATTTAAATAATTCGTTAAATCTGAGAAATAATTTAACTGAAAATATTTCTACAATATTCAATTCAATTGACGAAAATAACAATTTAACTGTTCCTAAATTAAATAATGAACAAAAAAGTACTACGAATAAAGAAAAAATATTTAATAAACTAATAACGGAAACTTTACAACCAACAACAAAAATATCAAGATTGGATGAAGCTACAACAACAGGGATGAATGAAAGGAATTTGCAGCCTTTGGGTAATTCTACTTCTGTAATAGAAACATCAAAACATAAAACATCAGGCACTCCAAAGATATCAAATTTGTCTACAACATCGGCATCTCCAAGCAATAAAGAATTTACAAAGTTAGAAAGTTAAATTAATCTTAAAAATGGGTTTGCTAATTTTTTTTATTGAAAACAATATATACCTAGCTAAACTAATAAAATAAAGTCGGCCTCTATTTTACATAACCCTTTATGCACACCCCTCAATTTAAGAATAATTTTTTAAATTAGGTTAGTCATTGGATGAAGGAGCTGCATAGGAGATACTTCTAATTTTAGGTACATTTCGTCTTTAAGTCAATTTTTCATTACATATAAAATCGATGTTCGACTTTAATATAAAGATATGTGACGTCCGAATATACATATTTATTTTATAAAATTACAAAAAATTTTAGCAGCACACCATTCACAACCGCTTCGACCCATAAAGTAACAACACTTTCTAGTACTAAATTGGAAGTTAATGTAAATAATCTTTCTTCTGTTTATCCATCTGAACCTCTTCAAAACTCGCCTAATTACCCCTCAACAACAATCTCCAAAAGAACTACTCGATCAACCAGATCCTCACAAAATTTTACAACAATAACACCTTCCGGCAGTAAAGGCAATTGGCGTTCTTCTATTTCCCCGTTTCCGTGGTACTTTGTTGCTATTGGCGGTTTCCTCTTTGCTTCAATTATTTTTATTTTTGTTTTCATGACTGTCAGAGGATTTAGACAGATATTTACAAAAAGAACAACTCAGAATTCAGCTTCAACAATTGAAAAAAGCAACACAAGTGAATCTATGATTCCAATGATAAATCACAAAAAAAGAAAAACAAATAAAATTATTAAATCAAAATTAATAAAAACTGAAGGAGCAACAAAAAATGAAACAAAAAGTCCTAAAACAAAAAATAAAAATGAATCAGTAAATTCTGAATGTACTATAATGAATGAGGAAGACAGTGAAAGATTGGAATTAAAAGAAGGAAAACAAATTACAGTCATTGACCCTCTATTAAATCAGGTTTTGTTTAATAAATTAAGGATATTAGTAAATTAAAGATAAGTTTGAGCTAAATTAAAAATATAAGAAAGATTTTGATTTTTTGGAGGATTTATTATTATTTTTTATATTTAAGCAATGGAGTGGTATAATGAGTGAATGAATATAAAGAATTTGTAATAATGAATTTGTATTATTTTTCACTTAATTTTTTATTGTAATAAATAATTAATATTTTAAAATCATATGATCTTAATTACAAAAAATATTTTTAATTTTTATTTAATGGAGTTTTTCAAGCTTTTTTTAGGGAAAGTTTATGAATTGGCCATTCATTTTTAAAGTTATTTACTCCTCTTCTTTGTTTAAGATTTATTTTTATTTCCTACCTTCAATTCATATCATAAGGATTTTGAGCATAAGGAAGTTGAGAGAAAGGTAAAAATTGGCCTATTAAACTTGAAGCATTTGTTGACCTTGAATGCTTCTTTTATTAGGATCTTTAGTTAATTCTCTTCACATTTTCTCCAAATTATAAAATATCAAATACCGCTTTATTGTTAATTTTTTGGGATTTAATACTTACAAGTAAATATTTCCAAAATTCTTACTTGAAATTATGCTATTTAATTGTTATTTTGTAACAATTCTTTTCCAATTAACTATTTTTTACATTTTTATTTTAATGAAAAGTGCTTATGAATTAGATACTAAAAAGGTTTAGATATATTCTTTTTTTTTTAAATATTTATTTAGTCAGAATTACTTGCCCATTTATTTATATCACGTAATTTAACCCTCAAATTTGAATTATTACAAAAGAATGGAACAGAAGCTAATTTATTTTCAATCAGTGAAAGAGACAGTAACAAATCTTTCCGTATTTCTACATCAACAACAAAGAAAACAGTTAAATTTCATTCTAAATCTGTTTGAACCTCGTTATAGTCTTTAATGTTGAAAAAATCATACACTAAAATGAGTTGTATTACTGTGGGCAACAGCTTCTAGATTTACATAAAATTTAATTGTATACATTAGTGAGGGTATTCTACTATAACGAAATTCGATGTATATAAACGTAAATAAAAATTATTTTTCAGATACTTTTGGAATTTATATCAAATATCGATGCTGGGAGAGTTAAACGATTAGAAATTTTAAGTCAATCTCTTGAGGATTATTCTAATTTTCATCTTTTCCATATAATATTTAACGGTCCATGGCTGACAATTGCAGAAGATTGTAAACAATTAATTAAAATACAAGAGGATCTAAACGAGTTGGATATTTTTAATTTAATTAAAAAAATATTTATTTAATTAAAATATTATAAAATTCCATTCAATTTTTAATTTCAAATTTTCGATTTCGAATTATGTAGTCATTTAATGTACGAAATGCAAATTGATTCATTAATTACAACAATTGGTGAAAATTATGGTGAAGGAAAGATAATAAAAAATAATGAAAATAATAATTCACCGAACATTGTTTTGAGGGAGTTTACAGCTGATATAGCCATTCCGCTGGAGATGCAATGTCCAAAATTACAAATAAGATCAGAGAGAGGTATGTAGATTCTTATACAGTCGGACCTCGAATTTAGAAACACTCAAGAAACCTCTCATTTTTAAATCTGGTTGGCCACTTGGTAAGAAAGGTGTCTAGAAAGAGAACAGATGGCGTAAGGATTCAGAAAAGGGGTGGAATAAACCAAACTATTACCCTCATTTTTAAATACGATTTTTCATGAACAAGAGGATTTAAAATGGAAGTCCAACTGTATTTAAAATTTAGATAAACAACAATTGTATAAAATAATTTTAAAAAATTAAAGATGAAAAAACATCTGAAATAAGTGAAATCTATCAGAAAATGCAAGAAATTAATCTTAAATTTTCACACATTGAGCAACAAATATATCAAATAGAAATGTATCAACGTGGTTGTCCAATTTTAGATGCCAATGGAAAAACAACAATTATAGCTTCGGGTTCTCTTATTCAAAATTACACAGAATGTAGTGAATGTCAGTGCGATTATGAAGGAAATTTGTATTGCAAGCCAATGGGTTGTCTGTTTTTGAATTGTGCTTATCCATTGACACCACTTCCTGGGCAATGCTGCCCTCAATGTGGAAAACGGGTAATTAGTTGAATTTAAATTAGAGTTGTGCCCGATTCTGACTAATAAATCCGACACTGAGTGTCGAGAACTTAGGTAGTTATCAACAAGGGAATAAGCCTTCACAAGTGTTTGGTACCTCGTACTAAAATTCGTACGAGTATAAATTTTAGCGTTAAATGTTGATCATTTATATTACATAATTTAACAACTTTTAAATTTTTTTTGTTAAATTAAGTGCTTATTCAATGGACGCTTTTACGAAAGTGGAGAACACTTTTCGCCAAAGACTTGCACATACTGTTCTTGTAAGGATGGTAGAGTGGAATGTTCTTTTAAGTCAGTTATTTAAATTTATTGAATGGATATTTACATTAAAATTTTGGAATAATATTAATTAAAATTAACAAAATAAAATCAAAATTTTTTAAACAGATTTCCCACTCATTGCCCTCGACTTGATTGTAGAGATCAAGAAACACCTCCCGGTGAATGTTGTCCAGTTTGCAGCAACATTGATCATTGCAGATTTAAATCATGTTCACCAAATGCAACTTGCCAATCTGGGAAGTACTCTGCTGTTTGTCGTTGTAAAAAGGTGTTGAAATGAGACTAGCTATTTCTTAAATTATTTTTAAGGGATTTTTTGGAGATGGACAGGATTGCTATGGTAATAAGTATTTTTAAATTCAATACTTTTTTGGATTCGAATCTGCCAAATTTATCAGAAAAATTAATATTCCATCAATTTATAATAATTAATTTACTATTTAGATATTGATGAATGTTTAATGAAAGATAATACAAATATTGAAAAGGTGGATTTTTTAAATTTATTTTAAAATTTAAAAATAAAATTTAATAGAAAGGAGAGTGTGGAAGAGGCACTTTTTGTATTAATTTACCCGGATCATTTCTTTGTAAATGTTTACCAGGATTCAGTCCTATATTGGATGATAAATCAGAAAATTTGACGAAAAGTTGTTTTGATTTAAAAAAGGCATTTAATTAATTTCACATACTACATAATTACTAAATTTAACCTGCATATATATTATTTATATAAATATTTAAATCTTATAAATTAAATTTAACAGGATTATTAGGAATCTTTATTTAAATTAATCTATTTATGTACACATTAGGTGTATTCCGAGTTGAGCTAAAGTGTAAGACAAAGTAATGGAGAAAGTCCAAAAATTTAGTTAACGGGCTTATTTTACACGAAATTATATAGGAGAATTAAAAATATGAAGCAATATTTAAATATCCTCCCTTCTATAGAGACCACAAATTTCATTATATCAAATTCACCACATTTTAATGTAAGTATTAAGAATATTTATTTTTAAATTCTGGGCAGTAAAAAAAGAGATTAATTATTATTTTGTAAAGGCAACAAATTATAAACATTAGAGCTGCTTTAAATAATCGAATTAATCTTTAGTAAATAAAGCAGCCCGAAATATAAAATTTTTAAGAAGGAATTGAATTATACAAATATTTAAGAGGGGGTGTTTTGATTGTTTTATAAAAAATAAGCTTTGTCTTTGTCTTCATTTCTCAATTTTTAGAGTTTTTCAGTTCCATAATTTATTTTTATAATTCAATTCTCTAATAAAAATTAATTTCGAAAGAATTGTTACAAAAAAAAATTTAAAAATAAATTTAAAGCCAAATTAAAGCTTTAATGATTATAATAAAATAAAAAACATAAAACATCTATTACTTAAAACCTTCATTAATATTCCAATAACTGAAGAATATAAAATTAAAATAGAAAGACTTTTGGTTGAAGAAACTTGTCCACCAGACTGTAAAAAAAATTAAATTAATATTTAAACTTCTAAATTTACTTGTTGTGCTTCTTGAATACTTTCAATTGTACTTTTTGGTGTTGGAAGGAAATCTCCATTTTGTGAAGATGTTTTATAATCCAAATCATCTTCCGTCAAAACCTCTCCATGTACTTCTGCATTTTCTGCACTATTAAATTCTGCACTTGTTGTAGATTGGAAATTGGATGTTGAAGATTCTTCAGGTAAAGATTCGGGAATATTACATCTATTCCCCGTCCATCCAACGTTACAAGAACATTTCCCACATTCACAATAACCATTATTGAAACAAGTTACCTTTAAATTTTAAAGTTTTTTGCTTGTCACAAAAATTATTTTTCTTTTACTCCATTCTCGGTACAAGGTTCTGGATCATCATCACAATTACAATCTTTAAATAAATAATTTTTGGAAATTTTCCTTTAAATTTCTTGCCTTCCCCGCTATATCCACGTTCACAAACACCTTAAATAAATTAATTTAATTTATTTAAAAAATTTATTTTTAACATTTTCCGCATTGGCATGTTCCTCTACCAGAACATATTTGCCCAGAAACACTTAATGGACAACTAGAACTGTCACATTCACAATAACGACCACTAATCTTTAATAAAAAATTTTAATTTATATTTTAATCTTCTTTACATAATCAGCTTCACATTGACATTGGCCACATTTACATTGACCTTTATTAGAACATATTTGTGCTTGTTTATGTTCTCTACACAATCCTGTTAACTCCTCAGCTTTACTTACTCCATATTTATCCAAATCACATTCACACCTTTCCTTTAAAAATGAAAGAAAGATTTTGAAGAATTTATTTTATGAATGTATAATCTTTAATTAAAAAGAAGTAAATTGAAAATTATTAGATGAAAAAAATAGTTATCGAAATTACCGAAAAATTTTTTAATCAAAATTCAACTATATACATTATTAATTATCTTGGGAATTATTCTTTCGACCTCTCTCTGGAGAGGGTAATTGATAGAGGTGGGGTAATTAATAGAGATCATTTTAGGAAGGCTAATTCTACTAGTTTTAAGGGGTAATTATTGTTTCAACCTTTCGCTGGAAGTTTATAACTAATAGATGTTGGGTAATTATTTGAAGGTGGGTAATTAATATTTTTCTCGTTTTAATAATAAATGTTTTGATAATTAAATATTTTTATTTATAACAAACCCCTCCTTTTCCATGATCACATTGACAAACTCCACAAACTAAATTCCCTGAATAACTACAACGAGGGGAACGTCTTTCCTTAATTTTTTCATTTACTTTTAAATTTAAATTTTCAAAACTTGTTGTCTTGAATGTTCACATTCACACCCACAAATTGGGGTAATAAAAATAGCAGAGACTGTATTATATCCATAAATACCGACAGAAACGGCTGCTAAATTTGGTTTAGAGCAATCTTTTAGAGAAACTGTTGCATTAAAAGAAATTTTTTGGTCGGGTTTAATTCCTGGGCAAACTCTTCCAATTATTTTTTCTCTTTAAAAATTTTTATTTTTAAATTTAAAACAGCCAATTAATTACCCATTACATTCAATTGTAAATTCTATATCTATACCAAGTGAACGAAATTCTGATGTTTGTATAGTAAAATCACGAACTTCATAACCACTTAATGGTAATTTATGCAAATAACGAAATGGGACTTCTATTTGATCGCCTGGAAAAATATTTTTTAAATTTCTATAATATATTCCAAATTAAAGATTAATTTTATAAAAATTGTTAATATCAGGGTATAATTTAAAAACCAGCTGATTTACATATATGCTTAATTTTATAATTTTTAAAGTTATCCTTTAAATTTATGGCTCTTAGTCAATAATCTCTTTTTATCAAGAATTCCATTCCAAAATTCATAATTACCCAGGTATTTAAATTTGGCAAGATTTTGAATTAAAAAACCTGCCTGGTTTCATTCTAATTTCAACTTGTTGGGGTTCTAATTGAATAATAGTAACACCATCTGATCTTCTCCCACCCAAGGGTAAATTCTTAAAAATATTTCTTTTTAAAACAAAAATATATTAATTTTATTTACATGGGGAGGTGCTACTTTAATTTCTGTTGTTGGAGAGAAAAGTTGTCGATTTGGACATTTATCTTTTTCTGAAGCAAATACCCATTTAACATCACAACGCTGGCTACTACTATTTAACCGCTTGAAATTTTAATTAATTTAGTAAAATAAATGTTTATTTATTTATACTTTAAATAATATTTTCCTCTTATTTTATTAACTCATAAATTTTAAATAAAATTATCCTCAATAAATAATTATTAAATTATTTTAAAAAATTTTAAGGGAGATTATTAGAGAGCGAGATTTTCAAGAAACTTAGACTTTGATTTTAGGCGAGGACCTTGAGCAGATCAAGGACCTTGAGTCAAGAAAAAATCAAGGAACTCTGAAAAATGCCTTGATCTGGAAAATCAAGGTCTGGATCCAGAGCTCTCAAAAAATTATTATGTAATTCCAATTTATTTTCTTTTAATTTTTACCGTATCAGCACACCAAGCACATTCTGGACTCGAAGCAATACAATTACCACAATTTTGGTTAGCTTCAGGGGTTAAACATTTTTGCCGAAGTTGGTCATTTGTTTGGGCCAAAGAAGAGGAGGGAAATAAAAAAAGGAAAGTAATAATAAAGAAAATAAATTTAAATAAAAATATTAAATTAATTAAAAAAGAATAATTATGAAGAATTGGGGATTGGGAAATTGAAGTTTTGGATGCCAAAATTGGCTTATTTAATGATAAAAACCTTTCAGATTGTTTTATTTTAGGCATTAAAATTCTGAAAATTATGAAAATTAAATGAATTTAAAAATTAACAAGAAATATTTGGAATGAATTTTTATCAAAAAACATATGGAAAACATTTGGATAAAAGTTCTATTAATGATAAATTTAATAATTTAAAAAAAGTTTGATTTTGAAAGGAAAAAACGAGAAAAATGTTAGCAGATGGAAAAAATGTTCAAAATACAAACAAGTTAAAATGATTATTAAAAAGTTTTTGTTTAAAAATATTTTGAGTGATGAAAGGGAATGAACGTCTGTTGAGTTATTAATTAATCATATATTTATTATTTGTAAATATGTTGGAAGAAGGGATTTATTATTTTTTAAAAATTATGTAAAAAAATATTTTTTGTAAAAATTATTTTAAATTATTAGTTTTTTTAGTTTTTTAAATGGTTGGGGTTAGTAACGAAGTTTAGTTTAAAAGGTTATGTTTTTGTGGAAATAAGATTTGCTGAATTAATGTTAGCACTGAAAATTTTAAAAATCCAATTTAATAGGAATATTTTAAAAAATAAAAAGAATAATTTAAATATAAATATTGTAAGAAACACTACATATCTAATACCAAGAAACATATCTAATACTATAATATAAAATATAAGTTAAGTATTAGGTTCGATGACTTGGAAGCATCAGTAATTTTCTGGAATTTATTTAATGTATAATATCTACTATTATTATTTCGTTCAAGACTCTCAAAATATTTTGGAATAATCAAAAAATATAACAAAAAATATTCTCTCGTTAAACAATTCTCCTTTTAAAAAAGCAATTTTCTAAAAGAAAAATAGCGTTTTTTGTTAAAAGCATGAAAAATAATAAAACCCTCCAAATAAATCATTTGTTAAAAATATCCAACCATTATTTTTAGAAAATTGCAAAATTACCTTTTCTTCTTTTTAAAAAAATTTTGTTCTCAAAATAAAATTAAAAATACGAGAAAATGAGGTCATTTTATAGAAAAATAATTTTTTTTATTGAATTCAAAAAAAATTGAAAGAAAAATAAATAAAAAATAAAAGTATTTTTCTTGAAAATTGGATCAAGCGGAAAAATCATGGAAATGGAAAGTTTTATTTGACAAAATAAAATGAGAGAATTTTGATTTAATAAAAATTATAATTAGGGAATTAAAGAGAGAAAAAAAATAATTTTGTTAAACAAGAAACTTTTTATTCGATTTTAGCTTTTTGTTAAAAGAAAAATATAAAGATGGGTGACAACAAACTTAAACAACAATTTCTTGTTCTTCACTTTGTGTGGGAAACAAAATTGTAAAATGAGGGATATTGTTTTTGGAGGAACGGAAAAGTGTGAAGAAAAGGATATATTTGGGCGTGGTGATGATTAGGCGAGGACTTTTAAATTTGCCAGAATAATTCTAAAATAAAATTTTTTAAAATAAATTAAACAAAGAAAGATAAATAGAGCAACTCATCACATAATCGGGCCCCCGCAACGTGATTTTAGACCAAAACTCGTCGTTATGTCCCACGGGGATTGAAGGTGGACTTTCTGACAGTTGAAAGATTACAATATCATTGACGTCGTAATCTCTCATTTACTGAATAATTAAATAAAAACTGCCATAATGATTTCATTTCGAGAAATTTTAGTTTGTTGTTATAATATAGGGTGCCGTTTTAATCCTTAGCTAGAATAATCCTGCGCCCAAACGAGCCATAAAATCCATTCCCAAAGAAAAAGAAACAGCTGTCCCCAATATTTGGACAAAGTTTTGAAGAAGAAAAGTTCTTCCAAAACAACAGCCAAAAGTAAAATTGCTTTAAAATTGATGGGATTCCGTTGCAGAAATATCAGAGAGGGTGGGAAACAACAAAAAATGGACAGATCGTTTGAAGACCGCAATATAATTGAAGGTAAAGGAAAAACATCGCCAGAAGGGCCCCTCAATGATCTTCCCTTTCTCTCCTTTCTCTCCCACCCGCAGGCTTCTTGTCTAAGGAAAACTTTTTAAGAGCGAAAATTTTTGTGGATTGGGAAGAGAATAGGATGAGGAGGAGGAGGAGGATTAATCTCACCATACGAACATAAAACTTATTTTCTTCTTATTTTTTTATTACTTTTATTTAATTCTTTTCTTTAGCTTAATTCCATAGCAGATAAATAAAAAGCTCGGCCTTTTTAGAGGTTTTGGACAAAAAAAAGAAAATTGAGAGATTTTTAAGAGATGGGGAACTCTTCCTCTTTTATTAGAGTGTTGTAAATCGATCATTTAATATTTTTTTTGAATCAGAAAATTATTTTTTTTATAAAAGAATTAAAAAGGATAAAAGAAAAGTGGATTTAAAAAGAAAATCCCAATTTTTTTCCTGAATGTAATGGGGGTTGAAACACAGTTTTGATTTTAGAAATGTCACAGAAGATTTTTCGATTTTTTATAAAATTTTTTAAAGTAATAAACCTCCACCTCGACGAAGTTTTTTTGAAAGGCGCTTACCCAACCCTGATTTAAATTAAAAATTAAATAATTCAAATTTAAATCTTGAAAAAAGACAAAAAAAGAATTTAAAAAATATTTATTTTTGTTTTTAAAACTAGGTTATAATTTTTTTAGTTTGATGCTGACATCTTTTATTTAAGTTAAAAAAAGCAAAAAAATGTAAAATGATACAAGAACATCACTCACGAAAAAATGGACAAATAGTTGTGAAATGAAGCTTAGGCCACACCGAAATAAAAGTTTTTAAAAAAAATATTTTTAACTTTAAAAGTTAAAAATAAATTTAAGTAAATATAACTGTTGTTTTAGTAAATTTTTAGGAAAATTATTTGGATTTAAAAATTGAAAAAAAAGTTTTAGAATGAAATTGAATGAAAATAAAAATAAATTGACTTTATTTGATGTAAATACAATATAAACATTCTCTTTTGTGTTAAATTCAAAAACTAATAATTATTGTTGCAAATTTAGTTCAGACTAGTGAAAATTTATAGGTAAATAAAATTAAATTATTTATATTTAATTTTAAAATTTACTACAAAGAATCTGCCTGAAGTGCCTGAAATTTCTTCAAAAATAATTCTTTTTTATTTTATTTTAAAATTAACGAGACAAAATTTTATCAATTTTATCAAATGATTGGCCAAAAGTTCTGAAGTTTAAACAAGAAAATAACATATTTATTACTGAATTACACAGATATTCTGTATCTTTGACTAGAATTTTTGCTCAATTAGCTTTTGTCCCCAATCCAATTTATTTATGCTTATTTATTAAAGTATCACCTCACAAAAATTAAAGCATGACAAATATCCCAGATTATTTTTACCAACCCGAAATTAGGAAGAAATTTAGCTTTTTTAACTTTCTATATTTAAATATCGTCATATAAAATTCCAAAATTTTTTTTAAATTAACATCTGTAATTATTAGAATTTTTCTAAAGATAAAAGTATTACGTCAATAATAAAAAAAGTATTAAAATTGAATTAATTTTAGCTTTCTAAATTAAATTTAAATTCTTTTAAAAGAATTTAATTTAAAATAATTATTTAACAAGAAATTATTTATTATCAGAGCGAGTTTTTTAGGTTCAAAAAACTGATAATAATTACCTAAATAGGTTCGAAAAAAGCATAAATAGGTCGAAAAAATTTTGAAAAGAGGCAGAATAGGTACAAATTTTAAATAAATAGTTTGCAATTTTTATGGATTTTCAACGGGCCTGTAACTCGGGCCTGTAACTTTCACGGGCCTGTAACTCGGTCCTATCAAGTCAGAATATGTTTATTTTGGTGTCAACCGACTCAGCTCGAGGAGCTCTTTCGAATGAGTTAACATTCAAATATTTATTATTTAATTATTAATTATATAATAGAAAATTTAACAAACAATTTTTAAATTTTTATCATATTATAGAAAATAAAGATGTAATCAAAACAAATTATTTTAAAATTATTTTTTAAGCTGCTAATATAACTATCTATTTACAATTAAAAAAATTTTTATAAAAAATATATATTTATTTATAATTTATGTATATATACATACAATGCAATCTCGCCAATATTTTTCCTCAATCCATTTAATTTAATTTATATATCGGCCAATTTGGTCTGAGGGGGAGTTGGGTATATATTAGCGGGATTCCAGTGTATTCAATTTGTAAATTATTTCAGTAAAGACCGGACCTTCCAAGGGAGGTTTGTACAATAATTGAGGTGACGGAATCGAGAATCATTTGAACCTAAAGAAATATTTTTTATAAAAATATTTTTAAATTTTATTTTTACTTGATCAGTATCTGTTGCACATGTTTCATGAACATAAATCATTTTTTGTGGGTTAGCGTTTAAATCGACAAATTTTTGTTTTATATAAGCCATTGAATGTTCATAAGTTTGGAAACCTTTTTTAAAAAATTAATTTGAGAAATATTTTTTAATCTCTATATAAAATTAGTGTGTTGGTTTAAGTAAAATCAAGGGCGGGCCGATTGTAATTAAGACACTCAAATTTTATTTGAATGTAAGTGAAATTTTTATAATGCCCCAGTCAATAACTTCCCCCTCCTTACAAGAGATCGGACCAACCGATCTATCTCTCCCCCTAATCCCCCCTAATCTTCCTTACCATCATATTCTTTAAAGCAAACACGTATTGATGTTCTTTTAATTTTTTCTTCAAACAAATCTTTTTTATTAAGAAAAAGAATAATTGAAGTATTCAAAAACCATCGAGAATTACAAATTGACTCAAAAATACGCATAGATTCAACCATTCGATTCTTTAAAGATAAAAATTTAAAATAAAATTTATTTCTATTTTTTAACTGTTTCTCCATCTTCAAACAAAACTTCATCATATTCTGAGGCTGCAGCAACAAAAATAATTGAATCAACATTTTCGAAGCAATGAATCCACTTCTTCCTTTCAGATCTTTGCCCGCCAACGTCAAAAACTCTAAAAAATTATTTTTAATTTTTTTAGAAATACCCATTTTTTAAAAATAACGATGAGATAAATAAAGATACTAAAATAAAAGTACTAAAAATACTAAAATAAAATACTAAATTCATTTAAAAATATGTATTTTTCACGGAATATTTAAAAAATTTCCTTAAAATGTTTGTTAAATTTATTCAAAAAATTGGACCCAAAAAAATAAATTAAATTATTAAGACATGCCCAAAATTAATTCACCCCCCCCTCCCCCCTCCAATCAAATAATTTTAAATCACCTAAATTTCATGGCATTTATGGTGAATGTTTGTTCATTAACTCCAGTAGTTCTAATTCTTGTCAATAAAATATCATGATCAGAAGGCCTATATGTTGGGTTACTTATTCGATCAATCGAATCTAGAAAACTGAAAAACAAAGAATAAAAATTTATTTTTGTTAATTTTCTTACTGCATTGTTGAACTTTGCAAATTAAGTTCTAATGCATGGGAATATGTGGCTTTATTTAATGAAGGATCTTCCCATAAACGTTTCATTGCAACAGCAAGCTAAAAATATTTTTGTAGAAATTTTTTTAATTTTTTAATTTTTAAATAATCATTTAAATTACTTAAATTTATTTTACAAAATCAAAAACTCAAAAATTAATTCCAATTAATTACCTCATCACTAAATGCTTCTTGTTCCTTTCCTTTTGCAATTGTTTCAAAAACAAGTTTTGCATCTAACTAAAAATTAAAATAAATAAATTAAATGTTTATTTTAATTTCAGGAAATAATCTTTAATTTTTAAAATAAACAAAAATAAAATTAATTATTAGGTATTTTTTGTTTGAAAATATTAATAAAAAATAATATTTTTGATTTTTAATTCCTCTTATTTTTATAAATATTATTAATTAAATATATAATTAGGGCATCAAAAAACATGTAAATGCATGTTTTGTATGGAGATTATGTTATGAGGAGATAAGCCAAAAACAGTGTGTTTACGGTGGTGTGTGTCAGGTGAGGGACGGGTTATCCGAAACACAGACTTTTTTTGACCCGAAACCCTGACCGAAGAAAATTTTGAAAACCAGACCCGAAACCTGACCCGACTTTTTTCTCAACCCGTCCCATCCCTGGTGTGAATAACTCGGGTTTTAATGCATATTTCTTTTTATCTCGATAATTTTGAAATTAAAATTATTTAAAATTATACACAAAAATTTTGATAATTTTTAAATTAAATTTAAAATTAAATTAAAAATTACCCTTCTACTTTCATCTCTAAATGTAATATTATATTTTTCCATTCCTTTAAGTAAGTCTGCCATTGCATGTACAGTATTTGAATAAACAACAGCCCTTTGTTGTAATAATTCCTTTAAATTAATTTTTAATTAAATTAATTTACGTAAATTTATTTTTGGAAATTTTTGTAAAAAAATAATTTATTCTGACACAAACCTCTTCTGAGAAACCTTTGTTATGCATAAATCTGAAAATTAATTGAAATTTTATTGAATTTTAAATGTTAAATTATTTCTGTGAAATAATAATTAAAAATATATTTTTTTTATTTTTACCTCATTTGCTTCATTAATGTGCTTTTTCCACATTCTCCGGCACCTGAAAAAAGCGTTAATAAATATTTTTTGTTAAAAAAGGAAATTAATTCTAGATAGGTAATAAAATAAAATCAAAGATTGATAAAATAAAAATAAATGAGGGGGAGACAAGTATATCTGAAATATTGGAGTTAGTAGTAAGGTTGGTGGATAGGGATCGGATATCCGAAGATTTCCAACTATCCGCCAACCTTAGTGAGAAGCTTAATTTAAATTTGAGTTTTAAAATTAATTTACTAAATATTTTTTTAAGAATAACTACTAGAATATTTTTAAAAAATTTTCTAAAAAAATTTATTTTACCTAACAATAAAAGTTTAAAAGTATTTTTTTCAGCTCTAGCTTCATCTCTTATTTTATTATCAATTGAACGATTTCTTTTTGATTGATCTTTTGCTTCCTCACTTTGGCATAAACCCATTTTTGTTTAATTAAAATAAATACAAAAGTTTTTCTATAAAATAATTATTTTAAATTAAAGATTATCTTCTCTTTTTAATTAAAAAAATAATTAATGAGAGAATAAAAAATATATTCTAAATAAGGCAATTTAATTACATTATTATATTTACTCAAAAATTAAATTGGATAAATATATAGAAGAAGAAGAAGAAAAAAAGAATTTTTTTACCAAGCTAAAATTGAAATAATTTATGAAACAATTTTTTTAGTTTTTAAATATTTAATTGAAATTGGAAGAAAATTTGTAAAATATTCTGTGAAAATAAATAGTAAAAAATTATGTGAATGATAATTTCTGATAAAATTTAGAAGTTAATTTTAAATTATAAGAATAATTTCTGACAGAGCAAAAGACGGGGGAATTTTTAATTTAATAGACAACACAACATTTACTTCAACAAACAATTTTTAGAGGAACTAGCCCCCAAACCCGAGAAAAGCTAAAAGGTCTAATCTTCAAGACACAGAGTCGTCGATTGATTATTTAAAATTTAAAAAATTTACAAAAATTTTTGATTAAAAAATTAATTTGAAAATAAAAAAATATTTCATTTAAAAATAAAATATTGAGAGGAGAAAGGTGTAAAATTAATGAGAAAATATTAAAATTTAATAAAAATGGTTGCGATGGAGCTTTAACAGAAAAGGTAAAAAAATAATTACTTATTTTAATATATGTATAAAGAAATAAAAATATTAAATTGTTAAGAGAGAGAGGGAAAGCAATAGCCTTTAAAATAAAAATCATGAGCATTTATTTGCGTGCCGCCTTTCTTTTACTTTTTTTCTAAATTAATTAAAAATTGAGAAAAAAAGTCAAAAATTAAATAAAGAAATAAACAAAAAAAATAATTTAAATGTCGCTATATTTTCGTAATAGCTACGATTTTTAGTTAAAAATTCATCCAGTCATAATCAAAAAATAAAAATTAATTTAAAAGTTTGCAAAAAAAAATACAAGAAAATTTCTGTAGTTATGTGAGAATAAAAAATAAATAAATTTTTTTCAGAAAATAATTTCCACAAACAACAAAATTATTTGCAAATTTGTGTTTAATATGTGTACATATTTATCACAATTTTTGTTTTAAATTTTTTTATTCAAAGAAAATATAAAAAGTGATTTAAAGTTCTGAATAATTTTGGTCTTTTTCTTTATAATGATATTTAAAAGCTTTTATCCCAGTTCAATTCCATATATCTTCACCTGTTTTTAAAAAGTTTTAGAGCAAGAATTTGAAATTCAGAGTCGACCAAATTAGAATGATCCCATGCACAAATTGGTATTAGCGTCACAAGTGAAAATTTTTGTATTTTGTGTAGATTTATAAATTTTATTAGGCATTATCAATTTGATTTTTAAAGAAAATATGTAGAATGATGTGAGGGTTCAAAGGAAATTGATGAAGGTGTGGTGGAGGAGGGGGGGGGGAGATAATGTAAAAGTAGAAAATTTTAAGTCTCGATCCCATTGTCTCGGTATTTTTATCTAAAGTTTTTCTGCCGCATCGGTAATATTAAAAATTTCTTGATTTATATCTTCTTCAAAGGAATAGCTAAATCGTTATTGAAATACTCCAATACAAGCTCCCATAACTAAGCACAGTTCCCCCTAACTATTAGCAAAAAATATCAGCTTAAAAATATAGGTAAATAAAAATTACAAATAAAAAAGAATTGACATTTGAAAATAAAGAAAATGCGCAGATGTTTTTGCAAATATTTTTAAAAAGAATTGAATAAATAAAAATAAAATAATTATTTTTTCTTAAAAAATAATTAGCAAATAACGAAAGTATGTCATAGGAAATAGATAGTTAATTTCAGGAAATAGATATTTATCCAAATATAAGAGAATCATTTTTTGGGTTTTTACTTTTATATCGAAATTAAAATGTTAAAAGTCTTTAATTTTTTAATAATAACAGATGTCAAAATAGCCGGCAGTTTCAGAATAAGAAATTAGAATTTTAACACTCCACAATTGGTGCACGATTCCAAACACCAAAATGTTATAGCACGTTTACATAAAAAATGAGAAAATATTTAAATTTTAAAATAACAAATATATTTATAACAATAAAAACATTTTTTGTGACGCCACAAAACTATTCTTTAAAATTTACAATAAATTTTAAACTATAATAATTAAAAAATTTACGTGACCATAAAATTTTAATGAGTTGTACAAACTATGTATGTACATACTATTAAAGTTACAAAATAAAATTTGTTAAAATCATTTTTTAAATATGTTTGAAACAATGGAAAGAAAAATCTTTAAAATATATACTAAAGTTTTTGTAAGTTTGTAGTAAGGATGCGGTTCTGGGAAAGTTCCGGAGGTGTCCGGAAAATTGGGCTCTGGAAAATTGGGCTCCAAGATTTTTCGGAAAATTGGGCTCCAACTTTTCGGAAAATTGGGCTCCAGCGGAAATTTGGGCTCTAAGTGAAAAAAACGGAAAATTGGGCTCCAATTTTTTAGGCGCGGGGAATTGTGGGCGTCGGAGTTAATTTTTGGATTTATTCGAAAAATACATATCACAAAATTCTCTGTAATAACTATTTTTGTACTGTTACTTAGTGGGTAGGTCGGCATTTCAAAGCTGAAAATCATTAAAAGGAATAGGTTTATATTACTGTTGTAGAACCCAGCGACCGTTGACTCCCGCGAGGCGCGTGCCGCAAAATCCCGCGCGAAGCGCGGGATTTTGCACAAGCGCCTCGCCGACACCCATAGGTTTACGTTGTTAGATTTTGTGTCATTTTTCGGAAAAATCCAAAAATTCACTCCGACGCCCACAATTCCCCGCGCCTAAAATTTTAGAGCCCAATTTTCCATTTTTATAATTTAGAGCCCAAATTTCCGCTGGAGCCCAATTTTCCGAAAAGTTGGAGCCTAATTTTCCGAAAAATCTTGGAGCCCAATTTTCCAGAGCCCAATTTTCCGGCACTCGTTCCGGATACCCGGAACCGCCAATGTACATATATAAATTTAGAATTTATAAGAAATAAAAATACTGGGACTGTTCAAACAATTGAAACCTAAAAATTATAGAAACAATCGAGAATACACAATATTGTTGGGTTTAACTTAGGTAGATTTCCTCACATGGTCAAACAAATTTAATAAATATAAACTCAAAAAAGAGAAAAAAGACAGAATTTTTGAAAAAAGAATGAAAACTTTTTGGTAAATATTTCAAATAATTTCTATTTTAAAAAATACAAAAATTTATATTTAAAATCTAGACATATATAATTAATTAACTCTAAAAAATTAATTAAGGACAGAAAATACCAATTATGTAAATAAAAAAATTAAAATTTTTCAGACGTCTTATTTTCTTATGTTAGAAATAAAATTTAAAACTAATTTGAAATTGAGTTAAAATTATTTAAAAATTTATTAAATAAATGAATTTTTTATAAAAAATAATTAAATGTAAAATAAAAATTAAATTATTATAAAAATTAGTAGACAATTTACAAAAAGTATTTAATTAAATAAAAAGAACTTTGGGATGGATTGTGACAATGTTGGAGTTGCTCTTGATTTTTTAATTCCACTTCCCAATAAATTATTTACGAAAAAAACTACACGCGAACATAGCGGGATATTTTAACGTACGAACAGTTACCCTACTGATTTCGGGACCTACGGCTACTGGGTCTTGGAAAAAAAATTTTATGTCATAAACTAATTTTTGCAAAATAATTTATATCAAAACACTTAGGAATGAGAGTAAATTCTTTTACATTAAACAAAGCTTTTATTTTTAAAGTTTATTGTAAAGATTTGTATTTTAGAATATATGTTGTAGACTATTAAAAAAGCACAACTTTTTTTTAAATATTTTTCAAATATAAATTTAAATTAAATTTTTAGTCAATACAAACAAATGCCAAATAAACTCGATAATTATATGTAAATAATAATAAAAAAATTTCTTTCGCGGCATAAATAAATTTAACAACGTTTGTTTATCTCATTAAAGATTACGTCAATGAATTTAATATTTTTTTGTTTAGTAGTTTTGTGTGAGAGAGTTTATATTAGAAAGAAAAAATAAGGTTATTTTTGGGGGGTTTGGGAAATTTTTTGGTTAAAAATAAAATTAAAAATTATTATTCAAAAAAACAAAGAAAATACGTCAAAAATAAACATTTATTTTAGTTCTAGTTAAATTTTAAATAGAATTTTAGTTCATTAATATTTTAAAATAAAATTGTTAAATTAAATAATTATCTGGTTAAACAATAAAATAATTAAAAAAATGTTTGACGAGAATTGTTATTTTAAAATTTCTATTTTTTTGGTTATATGGAAGAAATTTGCTGGGGAGCTGACAAACACTAGGTTTTGACTAATGAGTAACTTATTTTTGATATTTGGTTTGTTAGAATGTAAAATTTGTAAATTTTTGTTTTTCGAGTTTAATTTGGAAATAATTAGTTTATCTAAAAAATTGCGTTAATACATACAGTCGTGGAAAAAAGTATGGAAGCGCTAGAAAATTTCTTTTTATTTTTTAATTTTTTATTCAAAAAATACGTTCTATATACCAATCGAAAGCTCTATTCGTATCTCAGTTGACGTGTTTCTGCATTTTTTATGAAAATGAAAATTGGCCGAGATAATCCGGATCTACCGGATATACCAAATCCCATTTTTTCGGAAAAATTTTTCGGAACAAATTTAACAAACCCAAATGATAAAGCATATTTTTGTGAGCATTTACCACAAAACCGCTTAGAAATATCTTTTTCCGGAGCAGAGATATGATTTTTTGAAAATGGCATTTTTCGTCTATTTTTGCAAAAAATTCAATTTTTAAGCGAAAAATGCCATTTTCAAAAAATCATATCTCTGCTCCGGAAAAAGATATTTCTAAGCGGTTTTGTGGTAAATGCTCACAAAAATATGCTTTATCATTTGGGTTTGTTAAATTTGTTCCGAAAAATTTTTCCGAAAAAATGGGATTTGGTATATCCGGTAGATCCGGATTATCTCGGCCAATTTTCATTTTCATAAAAAATGCAGAAACACGTCAACTGAGATACGAATAGAGCTTTCGATTGGTATATAGAACGTATTTTTTGAATAAAAAATTAAAAAATAAAAAGAAATTTTCTAGCGCTTCCATACTTTTTTCCACGACTGTAAATGTAATTTTAACATTTTTGTTTGGAAATTATTTTAAAAAAGGTTTTTGAGCTAAAATTGTTTTAATTTTTATCATAGACGTAATAATATGTATTTCTAGAATAATTCAAATATTAATTACAGATGTTAATTTAAAAAAGCTTGAAATTTTTATATAACGATATTTAAATATAGAAAGTTAGAAAAGAGCTAAAAATGTAAATATTCTAGAAATTAGGAACAGGTTTTTAATTTTTTACAATTTCAAAGAAAATTTTAAAAAATTATAAATTTAAAAATGTCTGGGTTGCTTTAACAATTTTACGAGAGAATAAATAAATTATAAAGATTTTTGTTAAATGAAAAAAAATTAAAAGGTTCTTACAAATGTTATACAAATTGGGGTTGTTGGATCCCGATATCCGCATATCCTAAAAAATCCGAATCAGGGCTGAGCGTCATGGCGTTTGAGTTTTAAGAATTTGGAAAATTGGCGTTTAACATCTGGCGTTTCACTAAAAATTTTGGCGCAACCCATGGTCCGGATATCCGGAAATTTTGTAGGATGAGAAAAACCCTAATCCAGTTCCAATACAAATATATCATATGTCATAAAATCATAAAAATAAAAACTCAAAAATTGTCTTTTCCACCAATTAGTTTTCTTACTTTCTTTTTTTCAAGTTATTTTTTTATATTGTTAAAAAAAGAAATGTATGAATGTTGTCCAAACATTTGTAAAATATTTCCAAAATTTAACCAAAATATTGTCACTTTTAGAATCTTCAATTACCATTTTTTCTTTATTTTCATCCAAAATAGTCTTGTCACTCTTTTCTATTTCTTCATTAATTACTAATTCTTCTTTACTAATTTTGTTTATTTCATCATTATCAGATTTAACATATCCCCAACCACCTTCATTTCCAGCAACTTGAAATTTTAAAAAAAAATTTTTGGCGTTTAATTATAACATAAAAAATTCAAATAAACCCTTGGAGTTAAAAAAAAGAAAGTCGGGATTATTTTTCTTCTGATTTCCGAAATTTTATTATCAATTTTCCCAATAACTCAAAATTGCCTTTTTAAGTTAAAGTTCACTCAAATTTTAAAAATATCATAAATTGTGGTCTCTTTTTGGGTATAGTTCAAGTAAGGTCTGATTGCTTACCTTCATGCATAATTTTATCAATAATTTCTGTCAATATTTGCACAGACATCTTCTCTGCATCTCCCACATTATCAATCATTAAAGCAAAATTTATAGGTTGATTACTTGATTTCGGATATTTAATTTCAACTTTAGAACCAATACCAGCAAGTTTATCAAGTAATTCTGCATTCTCAACTAATTCATTTAAAGGGGTATCTTTGGCCGGATTTAAGCCTGATAAAACTTTTAGAACCTAAATATTTATTAAAGAGAATTATTTTTCAAGAAAATTAAACCTTTTTAAAATTATCATTTAAATCGTATGCAAAAATTTTGTCGGTTTTGAAAATCACCTCGTAGCCAGATTCTTTAAATTAAATTATATGTAGTATATAAAATATTTTAATTACAAATTCCGTTATGTTTATCACCTTTTTTTTAAAAAATTGAGAAAAATAAAAATCAAAAACTGAATGGGGAACAGTAAAAAATGCACACTTCTGTTCAGAGTTGAACGAAAATTTTCGTCCCGTGTTTCATAGGTTTCATAATTTTTCGGATATTTTCGTTTTTCAGGTGTAATTAAACTATCAAGACTGGAACTGAGATTATTAAAGTGGAAAATTATTTTTAAAATAAAAACTATAACCAATTTTTCCTTCTAATATTTTACATCCCAAAGAATATAAAACAAGTAAAATAGCACGTAATTTCTCCGTAATTTCTAATTTAGCTTTTTCAAACATTTTTTCTATTCCACTCATTAATGTAACAATTTCTGTTTGTTCACCCCCAATTTGTTCCCAACGCTCTTTTATTTGCTCTCGAAGATCCTCAAATTTAATAGAAGAATCTGCAAACCCCCCAACAGCATAAATTAAATCTGTTTTGTTGTAAAATGAGTTTTGTTCAGGAAAAATAAAATGTTCCGGATGAGTCAAAATATTGAGAAGAAGGAAGTCTGGGCTTTTATCTGTTTAATATTAAAATTAATTAATTTAGGGTTGTTGTTCTTGAAAGTGCCTTGAGTTACTAGAGAGATACATTAGAACCACCCCTCCCTTGTTAATTTTCTTTATACATTATCTTAATTTGGTCTTGAGCGGGATCGGGATCCCGACATAAAATCGGGATTCAAAAACCGAAATAATCCCGCCAGATCCCGACCGGAATTCCGATCCCGCTCAACCCTAATCCTGATAGCTTATATACAGTTTGTAACATTATTATAAAGGCGCCCATATTTTAGGTCAGATCTCTTTTCTTGATGAATTTTATTTTAAATTAGTTATTTTGTTATATTAAAAAATTATTACGAAACAATTAAAATTAAATCTTTCCTAAGTATCCAATAAAGTCTTAAACATTAACAAAAATAATATAACCATTGTTTAATTTTCTCTCAAAAGCATATTTTTCAATTTCGGCAAAACAAAATTGAAAATTTAATTTAAAAAACAAAGAAATAAAAAATAAAATAAAAAGTTTCATTTAAAATTTTTTTATAATTTTACATATAAATGTTTGCGTAATATGTAAATGAAGAGGAGGGAAAGGGAGAAAAAATGAGGGGAGGTTAAGGGAAAGATTTATTTATTGGTTTTTGACTGATTGAATTTTTACGTGGATTTTAAAAGTGAATGATAGAGAGGGAGAGAGGGAAGGAGGTAAAAGGAAGTGGAGATATGTATAACATATATTTGGCCAAAGAATGGAGAAGGGGAAAGAAAAAGAAATATTTACATTAAAGCTAAATCCGTCTTGAAAACTTTTGAGAATTTTAAGATATTTTCAAATAAATACTTATATTTTTGTCAAATTTTAGAGTTTTTTGTTTTTATAGTTTTCATTGGGATAAAAAATATTTTTAAATTCATTCTAGATGGATGTTCTCCATATAATTGCCCACCCGGACCTCCAGGTCCTCAAGTTGAACCTGGTATTTAAAAAAAGGTTTTCGAGCTAAAATTAATTTTATTTTTATCGTGGACGCAATAATAACATTTCTAGTCAAATTCTAATTTTAATTACAGATGTTAATTTTAAAAAAATCTTGCAATTTTTATATAACGATATTTAAATAAAGAAAGTTAAAATAAGTTAAAAAATTTAAATATTCTAGAAATTAGGAACAAGCTAAAAAGTTTTGTTAATTTCAAAGAAAATCAAAAAATTATAAATTTAAAAACTGTCTGGGTTGTTTAAACAATTTTAGGAGAGAATAAATAATAAAGATTTGTTAAATGAAAAAAATTGAAAAGGCTTACAAATATTTTATACAAATTAGGGTTGTTGGATCCGGATATCCGAAAAAAGTTCGGATTAGGGCTGAGCGTCATGGCGTTTTGCGTTTGGTATCAATTTTTGGCTCTGGCGTTTTGCGTGTTTTAAGAATTTGGAAAATTGGCGTTTAGCGTCTGGCGTTCCACGTAAAAATTTTGGCGCAAGCCCTGGTCCGGATATACGAAAATTTTGTAGGATGAAAAGACCCTAATTCAGCTCCAATACAAATATATCCATGTCATAAAATCATAAAAATAAAAACTCAAAAATTGTCTTTCCCTCATTAGTCTTTCCTTTCTTTTTCTCAAATTCCATTTTTTTATTTTGTTAAAAAAAGAAATGTATGAATTTTGTCAAAACATTTTTAAAATATTTCCAAAATTTAACCAAAATATTGTCACTTTTAGAATCTTCAATTACCATTTTTTCTTTATTTTCATCAAGAATATTTTTGTCATCCTTTCCTATTTCTTCATTAATTACTAATTCTTCTTTACTAATTTTGATTATTTCATCATTTTCAGATTTAACATATCCCCAACCACCTTCATTTCCACTAACTTAAAGATTTTTTGGCGTTTATTATAATTAGAGTTAGGCAAATAAAAACTCAAATTTAAATACACTCTTGAGTTAAAGAAAGGTAATAGTCGGGATTCTTTTTCTTCCGTTTTCCGAATTTTATTATCAATTTTCAAAATTTTAAGCATATTATTTGTTGTCTATTATTGGATATAGCACAAGGTCTGATTGCTTACCTTCATGCATAATTTTATCAATAATTTCTGTCAATATTTGCCCAGACATTTTCTCGGCATCTCCCACATTATCAATCATTAGAGCAAAACTTATATGTTCATTATTTAATTTTGGATATTTAATTTCAACTTTAGAACCAATACTAGCAAGTTTATCAAGTAATTCTGCATTCTCAACTAATTCATTTAAAGGGGTATCTTTGGCCGGATTTAAGCCTGATAAAACTTTTAGAACCTAAATATTTATTAAAGAGAATTATTTTTCAAGAAAATTAAACCTTTTTAAAATTATCATTTAAATCGTATGCAAAAATTTTGTCGGTTTTGAAAATCACCTCGTAGCCAGATTCTTTAAATTAAATTATATGTAGTATATAAAATATTTTAATTACAAATTCCGTTCTTTTTATCAACTTTTTTTAAAAGAATTGAGAAAAACAAAAAGCAAAAACTGAATGGGGGACTCTAAAAAATGGACACCTTTGTTCAGAGTTGAACGAAAATTCTCGTCTTATGTTTCATAGTTTTCATAATTTTTTTTGGAATATTTTGGGTTTTTAGGGCGTAATTAAATGATTAGGACTGGAATTAAGATTCAATAAACTAATATATTTTTTATTTTTAGCTCATTTAAAAATTATTATTTTTTAAATAAAAACTATAACTACTCTTTCCTTCTAATATTTTACATCCCAAAGAATATAAAACGAGTAAAGTAGCACGTAATTTCTCCGTAATTTCTAATTTAGCTTTTTCAAACATTTTTTCTATTCCACTCATTAATGTAACAATTTCTGTTTGTTCACCCCCAATTTGTTCCCAACGCTCTTTTATTTGCTCTCGAAGATCCTCAAATTTAATAGAAGAATCTGCAAACCCCCCAACAGCATAAATTAAATCTGTTTTGTTGTAAAATGAGTTTTGTTCAGGAAAAATAAAATGTTCCGGATGAGTCAAAATATTGAGAAGAAGGAAGTCTGGGCTTTTATCTGTTTAATATTAAAATAATTTATTTGATATTAAAATTAAAGTTTAAGCTTAATTAGAGTTGTTGTTCTTGGAAGAGCCTTGAGTTACTAGAGACTAGAGTTGTCGGTTCTGAACCGAACCAAACCGAAGAACGATGATTTTTCGGTTCGGTTCTTCGGTTCGGTCCCAGATATACGAAGATTTTCTAAGAACCAACAACACTACTATAGACGCATTAGAACCATCTCTCCCTTGCTGATTTTATTTATACATTATTTTAATTTAGTCCTGAGGGTTGATATGTTAGAGAGGTTTAACTGTTGTATGTATCTGTATACTACCCAAACAATTATTAATTAAATCTTTCCTAAGTATCCAATAAAGTCTTAAACATTAACAAAAATAATATAACCATTGTTTAATTTTCTCTCAAAAGCATATTTTTCAATTTCGGCAAAACAAAATTGAAAATTTAATTTAAAAAACAAAGAAATAAAAAATAAAATAAAAAGTTTCATTTAAAATTTTTTTATAATTTTACATATAAATGTTTGCGTAATATGTAAATGAAGAGGAGGGAAAGGGAGAAAAAATGAGGGGAGGTTAAGGGAAAGATTTATTTATTGGTTTTTGACTGATTGAATTTTTACGTGGATTTTAAAAGTGAATGATAGAGAGGGAGAGAGGGAAAGAGGTAAGTGGAAGTGGAGATATAACATATATTTGGCCAAAGAAATGGAGAAGAGGACAGAGAAAAATATTACATTAAAGCTAAATCCGTCTTAAAAACTTTTGATAATACATATAAGATATTTTCAAATAAAAACATTTTTGTATATCAACATTTTTATTCAATTTTAGAGTAAATTGTTTATTCGAAAATTATTAGCAAAGAAATATCTAAATCAACTGGAAACCATTTGAATATTATAATCCAGAGGGAGAGAAATAGTATGAGGGGATTTCCGAAATCAGGGTGTCCAACAGAAAAATCTTTCCTTAAAAATTCTTTTAAATTACACTGCAAACATTCTTTACAAGAAATTTTACAGTTTGTAGTACATTTGTCACAACCAGATTAAACTTTTAAAAATATAAATATTTTTTAAATTAAAATAAATAAAAAAAATTTTTTTGGAAAATTTTTAAAAATATTTTTTAATTTGTTTATTTTTATTTTTTCTTCTTTTTTTATTTCTTTTAAGCTATCTGAAGAGATATTAGAACAGGTAGTTGAAAGCAATTATTTTCGGGTTAGATTACATGCTGTGATGAGAATATAAAATATATATTCATATAAATTTATATTAAAAAGTTGAATTAGTTGAGATTCTAGACTACCCACTAAATATCTACCCTTCTATTTATTAAATTTAAAATATAATTTATTAATATTTTTATTAAACAGAACAATGGGGCACTCACGTTTATTTATATTAGCTGCATCTAGTGGCAGTGGTCTCCTTATATTATTTAGCTTTTTTGCTGCAATATCTATTATTAACGATATTAATTTACTTAAAAATGAAATTATTATTGGAGTTAAAGATTTTAAAGTAAAAATATTTTTATATAAATATTTTGTTAATAACCAACGTTTATTTTAAGATTATTGCAAATAAAGCTTGGGATGGAATGAATGAATTACCTTCTAAAAATTTAGATAATAATTTAATTCATTCTTCCTTTTTCTCTCCAAATCCAAGGGAAAAAAGGCAATATACGGCTGCTATTCCGGCTAAAGCTGCATATGTTGGAGGATCTTCATATAATGCAATTCCTAGAAAACAATCATCAATAAATTGTGATAAATACATTGTTTTTATTGGAATGGAAAATATTTTTTTAATTAACTCTAGATGGATGTTCTCCATCTAAATGCCCACCCGGACCCCCAGGTCCTCAAGGCGAACCTGGTATTCCTGGGGGTTTGTTTACACATCCAAGTTTAATTTAATACAAAATATAGAGCCAGGTACTCGAGGTTTAGATGGAAGACCAGGAATATCGGGTAGTAGCCTAAATCAAGGATATGATAGTGGAATAAAGGTATTTTTACTTTAATGAATGAAAAATAACTTGCATATATTTTATGAATGCATTCAATGCCCAGCCGGCCCTCAAGGGCCACCCGGTCCAAGTGGAACAGTTGGAAGTCCAGGACCGCCTGGACAGGTGAACAAAGAATATTATAATTATTTTTATGAAAATAATAAATATAGCAAGGATTGCCTGGCCAATTTGGTGAAGATGGAAATCCAGGACCTCCCGGATGTAATTTATTTTTAACATTTAATATTAAAATATATTTAAATTTAGTAACTGGAGATATTGGACCAACAGGTAACAAATATCAAAATAGGATTGAAATAAACTTTTATATGAAAATAGGACCTCCAGGAAATGATGGTCCAAGAGGACCTTCAGGTAAGTTCCATTTAAAAATGCTAAACTTATTTAACTTTTCCTAGGTTTGCCTGGGCAAAGAGGACAAGGTCTAAACAAGATTTTACTAATCTATGTCGATTTAAGGTCTTCCCGGGCCAAATGGCCTTCCTGGACCTCCCGGGGAGCAAGGGCCACAAGGACATCCAGGTTTGTTATTCTTGAGTATTTCTTAAATAATTTATAAAAGGGCCACCGTCTGGAGTAATCGGACAAATGGGACCGCCAGGAATGATGGGACCTCAAGGGATTGCTGGAACTCCAGGTAAAATAAAAACAATTTTTGTCAAATCTTCCAATAAACTTTACAGCTCCCTCTGGAATTCAAGGACCTCCAGGATTTCCTGGCACTCCAGGCAGAGATTCTTCATAGTAAATTTGATATTAAATATATAATTAAATTTATTTATTTTTAACAGTTGTCCGTGTCCTCCAAGAAACCAGCCACCTTTAAATTATGCCAATGTTCTTAATCAGCCTGGACAAATTCCTCCTTACAAAAAGAAACTTTATTGAAATAATTATTATTTGGGGGAAATGTTTAAGTAAATATTTTATATTATTAAATTCTATACATAATAATCAATTTGATTATCAAAGGAAATTTTTAAATTTAATTTGAAAAAAGTGATTAGAATATTTAAATGCTTAATATTTCGAGTAAATTAATTTAAAATATTCATTTTCTTTTTACTAAAAATCAAGATTTTTTTCTGTCCATCCTCCGGGTGTTCGACGAATCAAGAAACGTCGAAGCTCATCATAATTGAAAATATAGATAGCAAAAGGAATAGCTGGAAACCACCATTCAAATCTTTAATTTTTTGTATTAAAGGATATTTATTAAACGGTAAAGATTTTAAATATAGTCGAAAAAGACGTAGTTAATGTATCAAGACTAATATCCACATTCTTACTTGATATTTTAACAAAAAATTATTTCAATTACTTTAGTCCATGCATTTTCAGTCCTACATTTACAACAGGTGTATAAGCTAAAAACATAGCAATCCCAGTTTCAATTAATATAGCTGCATTCATTGGCCAATTATCCATTCCTTGCTGGACAAGTCTAAATTAATAATAATTTTTTTAATTAATTACTTTCATATTTACGAATTTCTTCTAGTTTTGACAATTAATATATCTGCCCATTGAGTAACTACAATAGCAATAAAAAATGCTGTTTGACATGTTTCCTCCAAAATTTTTCGATTAGTATATGTCTAGATTAAGAAGAATATTTTTGAATAAATTCTTTTTTAAATAAACCCATTCTTGGTTATAACTGTCTTCCAAATTGTTAATTAATCGGTTATCCCAACTTGAACGAAGATAAAGTACTGAAATTTATTTATTGTTTACTTAAAAATATTTGTTTATTTATTAGTGACCGGTAAAATCTATTTATGTGGACCTGAATTTCGGCTTTGCAATTTGAGCCGGACCGGATCCGGCCGGATTTCTCCGGATTAATCCGGTCCGGTTTTAATCCGGAGATTGCGAAAAAACCCAGATTTGGAACCCGGACTCCGGGAAAATCCGACCGGATCCGGTTCAGCCTCGGTCACTAATATTTATGGCTCCTCTTGTCTATAAAACGCCAAAGTAAATATTTTATAAATTTTTTCTTAGATTAAAAATTCTCAATTATTATTTGTTTAAAACTAAAATCAAACTTACATCTCTGTGGAAAAAATCCATTTTCTGCCATAATCCAAAAATAGGCAAAAAATCCAGCCATTGCTTTAAATATTTTTATTAATTCCAAAAAATTTTTTTGTTAATTTCAAACCCTGAATAAATCCAATTTGGAAATATGCCATAGCAAAAATACGTAAATTAACTAATTTGTCTGTCCTCTTTCTGGGAGCTCTAGACATAATATCAGATTCTGCTTTTTCATATCCAATGGTTATTGAGGGGATCTTTTAATTATTAAAATATATTTTGAATAAAATAAAAATTAACAATATCAGTTCCAATATCAATACAAAGCATTGTTATAGTTCCCAAAGGAAGGGGAACTCCAATAATTATAAAAGCAAGGAAAGGAACCAATTCTGCCAAGTTTTTTCGAAGAACATAAGAAACTGTCTTTTTAAAGTTATCAAAAATACGTCTTCCTTCCTCAACACCGACAATTATTGAACTTAAAATGAATAATTGTTTTTAAAGGAATTACAAAGAATAATTAAATATATTTACTTAAATTAGCAAAGGAAATCTGGCAGACATTTAAATACCGAGTATAACGAGTAATCTCGAAAAATCGGGATATTACTTAATGTGAGGAGTCGGGAAAACGTGTTAAAGCATAGATAAAAAACATGTTGTTATGAAACTCACGCAAAGTTATCATCTAATAATATCATATCAGCCACTTGTTTGCTTACATCAGATCCAGCTATGCCTGTTTAAATATACAAAACATTTTTTATTATTGCAAGTTATCTCGCTTAGGCGAGGAGGGGGATTATTCGAGAAATACGCTAAGAGGAGAAATACACCTAATTATATGATAAATTTAAAATACCCATTGCGATTCCAATGTCTGCTTTCTTTAATGCGGGAGTATCGTTTACACCATCTCCCGTTACCTAAAATAATTTTGAAATAAAACGTTATCTATATTTAATCTTTAAAAAAACTCACAGCCACAATATGCCCTAAAGTTTGAAAAGCTTCAACAATTTGAAGTTTTTGTTGAGGTGAAGTTCTAGCAAAAACTATTTCTTTGTGATGACAAATTAATTCTACAAGTTGTTCATTAGTCATTAATCTCAATTCACTGCCATGAACAACTATAGCCGAGGCTTCTCTGAATTTTTGAAGAATTTTAGAGGGAGGTTTATTTAGAAGTAGAACAATATATCCCTATAATTATATTTTCTTAGATGATTCAGTCCCATGGAGCAAAGGCCGATCGGAAATGACGAAGGTGCCGGAAATCGGAACTGTTGAAAATCGAGAAATAGCTCAAAAGTCGGATCTCGGAAATCAGCCTACATTTTCGGAAATCGGAAGGAAAAAAAACTCGGAAGCCCTGCCTTGGAGTACAATTATAATGAAGGTTATGAAGTTAAATAATCTACTTTGGGTCCACTTCACTAATATCGCATCCCTTCCTTATAGCGACATCTTCAATTGTTTCAGTATTTTCAGTCAAAATGCCAACAGCTCGAGCAATTGCTTTTGCAGTGATTGGATGATCCCCCGTAACCATAACAACATTTAATCCAGCTGATCTAGCCTTTGCTACAGCTGAAGGGACAGATGCTCTTGGAGGGTCAATAAGAGAGAATAGGCCAATGAAACGAAGACCTTTAGTTGGGAAATTTACCTAAAATTATCTTTAATAATGAGAAAAATTTATTCTTAATTGCCTCGTCTATATTAAATTCAAATCCTCTAGGAAAATCCTTTTTATTCAATCGAAGGTCAGCAAATCCCAAAACACGTTCTCCTTTTCCTCCTAGCTCAAGATAGGCGCGATTAAAGTCCTCACGAACGCTTTCATCGAATGGAATCTTAAATTAAAAGTCTTTTAAATTAAAAATTTTTAGTAAAGATTCGGATACAAGAATTTCCGTCTTATAATTTTAAAGAACTAATTTCTTTAAGGGATCTCTATAGCTGCAATTTCCTTTTTATTTTTACCTCTTCATTTCCAACAAGCATTGTCGAACATATTTCTACTATCCTCTCAGGAGCTCCCTTTAAATAATTAATTATTGAAATACTAGATTATTAATTATTTATGACCTTCATAACTAATAAATATTCATCATTATCATCATCTGTTTCGTGTATACTCAATTGAAATTTGTTTGTGGAATTAAAAGGAATTTCTACCAATTTTGGATTTCTTTTTCGAATACTTGCAACATCGCCTTAATAAAAAAATTAATTTTTAGATATTTTTTGAAATAAAGAAAAACCAATCATTAATTCAGTAAATCGAAGAAGAGCTTGTTCTTTAAAAGTTTAAAAATTAATTAGGTAGTTTATTCAAAAAATAATTGTAATGATATCTTCAATCCCTCTTTTCTAGTTAGCTTGTTACTATTAAATCAGTTTTGTTTGAGACCTAGTCTGGGATCGTGTGATAACTTTGAATTAAAATTCAAAAGACTCTCCTTAAGACCAAGAGTACTGATAAGTCAGAAGTGATTCCGAATCAAGATCCCGAAACCCTAAAATCAAATAATTATACGAAATCCAAAAGTAAACCCAATATTAAATTACTATATGAAAAGATGAACAACAGAAAACATTTCCAATTTACCTGAAGGGTCACCAGTACACTCCCTACGAAGTACAGGAATGTGTGTCTAAAAATGTTTAGACTTAAATATTATTTATTTATTTACTTGAGCCAATTTAAATTCAGCTCTATTACATAAAATTGCAATTCGCATTAAAGCAAAGAAAGCCTCGTCTCTTGGACCAGTTGCTGTAAACATATTAATTGTTCTCTTAAAGTGATTTAATAATAATTAAAGATTAATCCTTAATAAATAAATTTATTTGCCTGTGTATGTGTTGAAGGAATTGACTGTGCGTGACAAACTTCGCTATTACGGTCATACCTAATAATCACAAATTTTTAAATTTAATTTTTAAAATAATTTTTACCAAAGATGCGAAACAGTCATTCTATTTTGTGTTAAAGTTCCAGTCTATAAAATAATTATTTATTTAATTTTATCTATTTAAAATTGCCTTGTCTGAACATATTGTTGTTGTAGAACCTAATGTTTCTACAGCCTCCAAATTTTTAACTAGACAATTTCGGCTAGCCATACGTTTAGCTGTGAGTGAAAGGCAAACTGTTACTGTTGCCAAAATACCTTTAAAAATAGAATTCTTTTTTGTATCTTCTATCTTTGGATTAAAAATTCTTAATTTTACAAAATATTTTGTAGAGACTTTCAACTATAAATGATATAAGTCTAGATTCATTAAATATTTCTTCGATATTCTATTCCAAAAAATCTCAAGATCAACTCAAAATTAAATCAAAACCCATCTATTATTTTATCAAAAAACTTTCCCACCTTCAGGTACATTTGCTACAATTATTCCTGAAAAATAAAAATTACACAAAATGTTTTAGAAAAGATTAACATTTACCAATAAGGAAAATAACTCCTTGAATCCAGGTATATCCAAGAAAAATAGCTATTGCAGAGAATATAATGCCAATTGTAACAGCGATAATTGTAACAAGTTGAATAAAATGTTCAATTTCTTTGAAAAAATTTTTAAAATAATTTATAAAAAAAATTCTTCTAAATTTATTCACCAATAGCAATAGGCGTTTTTCCTTGTTCGAGATGGGCAGCTAAATGTGCAATTTTTCCAACAGCCTTAAAATTAAATTTTTCTGAATTTCAATTATGTCTTTTACAGTTTTGCTTCCCGTTCCGATTACAATTCCTTTAGCCGATCCTTCCACTGCAAAGGTAGAATAAAAGGCAAGATTTTTAGTTTCCATTGGATCATCTTTTGTACATTCGGCTGTACGACTAAGAGGTTCACATTCTCCAGTTAAAGATGAATTGTCTACTTTAAAGCCAGACGAGGATAATATTCCTAAATAAATTTATTTTTTATTAATTTTCTAGAGATTGGACAATCTCAAAATCTGGATTTTTGAAAGAAATTCCGTCTCGTATCTATCAATTTCGAAATTATTTACGTAAATCAGCAGGGATTCTATCGCCTCCACGAACTTCAACAATATCTCCTAAAACCAAATTTTCTGTAGGCAATTCAACTTTCTTTCCATCTCGGTATGTATTAGCAAATGTAGGCACCATTGTATTAAAGGATTCTAAAATTTTAGAGCTTTTCCTTTCTTGGAAATATTGGAATAGTCCTGTAACAACTACTACAAATACAAGAACTCCAGCCAAATAAACCTAAGTAGAAAAATATTTTTTAAATAAAAATTAATTTTTAATTATTAATTTTATTAATCACATGTTGTAAAATTCTATTAATTTAGTATTTTAAACCAACATAATCATAAGATGGAACAGGGTCTGTAATATAACCAACAACAAAAGCAACAGCACAAAGAAAAGCTCCAACCCATAAAAGTTTAGCAAATCCACTCAATTGTGTTTTTAATATTTTTAGCCATTCTGGTATTGTTTTGGGAGGATCCAAAGCATTTGGGCCGTATTGTTTAATTAATTCTTCTGCTCTAGCTGTTGTTAGACCCTTCAAATAATGAAGAAATATTTAGGGAAAATATAAAAATATTTTTTGGTATCATCTCAATCAGTTTGTCGGAGATGTAGGAGATCAGAAACTGGAATTCTGACCAATTTCCTATACAGATGCCCTTTATAAGCCTTCAAGAAGAACAAAAAAATAAAATATAATATTTAGCTATTAAAATAAATTATTTTCTAATTCAAAAATTTAGCTTACATTCTCTAAATCAGTTCCATATTTTTGTGTCAACTCTTCAGGTGACAATTTATGATCAACCTTTTAATAAATTTAAATATTTACCTAATTTAAAAATATCAACTAACAATATTAACTTCTGCATGAGATGCTTCCTTCTTCGCGTCTTTGGAAGAAATTGCGGCATTAGGCGAGGAGGATGAATCGGGTATATTTAATTTACCTTTAAAGGGTCTGATTTTGACCATTTTTAAATCTTTTTTAGATTGGTCAAAATAAAATTCTCTTTAAAAATTAAATAAAAGAATTAAAAAATAAGGATTTATCAGCTAGATAAAAAGGGAAAAATAAGTATCAAATACTATTTAATAAAAACTCAAATGGATATAGGTACATAAATAAAGGTAATCTTTTCGTTGATTAAAAAATAAATTGAGACCATATATTATTTAAATTTGATGTCATTTACAATATTATATCAAAAAAAGTTAAATATTTAATGATATATTTAAATACATTTTTTGCCTATAAACAACAATAGAAGGTTTAAAAAAATTTTTTTAACAAAAAAGGAATTAAAATAAAATCCCTAAAAAAGAGGAGCACTTTAAAATATATTTAATATTTTGCTATATTTTAATTGTCGGAAGGAATTAATTTTGAAAAAAAATATTTTTTTAAAAAAGTTAATTTATTTTTAAAAAATATTAGGAAAAAATTTAATTATAAAAAATTAATTATTTAAATTAATTGTTTTCGACATATGAACAATTTTATTTTAAGAAATTGTTTATTCATTGTATACTTTTTATTTAAAATGCCTATACTACTATCAATAAATCAGATAAATAAAATATTCCCAGATTAATTGAAAGTAAAAACGAAATATTAAAATATGCCTAAACGTTAGTTAGGAATTAAACAGAAAAATATAATAATTTTGTTTTAATATAAAAAATTATTAATTAAGTATTAGGTACAATCTCAGATTTTTAAATTTTTTAAAAATAAATTTAGAAAATTATTTAAAAGGGACGGAAGGGAGACATTAAAGAGTTTATTTATATCTACATATCCGGGGTGTGTCGAAACTGTTATTCAAAGAAGAAAGTCGAACTGGCACACACCTAGAAGATATTTCTCATTCATAATCCAGAGCTATTTTTAAAAACAAAATTCCTCAACAATTTTTTTAATTAAAAATTACTTTTATTTTTTGTGAAATATTTAAATTAAATTTTAAATAAAAAATACTAATTTTATTTTTAGTGTTTCTACCTAAAATTTATTTAAAAAATGTAAACTTAAGAGGAAAAATTTTAGAAAAGAATATTAAATGCCTATTAATAAATCAAATAATTTAAGAAATTGTTGAGTATATTTATATATAAATATTTCCGAAAAAAATATTTTTTATGATCAACATCATTAAATTAAAGTTTAAAAAAATATACGAATCAATGAAAAATAAATTAAAAATAAAAATGATATCATTTAAATAATTATTTTTGGTTTGTGGTTTTATTACAAAAGAAAAATTGTTGCAAAAATAAACTTTTCGAAAATACAAGTTACTATCTTCAATTATTCGTAGATAACCAAAAAAATTTCGCCTGGTATATGGTAAAAACTTTCCCTTAGATTTTTTTAGAATAACGGATAATGAATCACGGCCATTTTCAACTATTTGGAAGCATTACTAATTAAAAATTATAAAAATATTTTCTAAAAAAAGTTTCGAACAATTAACAAGAAAAATTAATTGGGAAAAAAGAATGACGATGAGCATAAAGTTGTAATCAATCCCTTTTCCTTCCCCTTCCTAGTTCAAATGAAAATTGCGTTGGAACGGCCATAAAAGGAGTTAAAATAGTTGCGCATGAATAATGTATGAGTAAAAAGGAATTTGCGAAGAATTAATAGAAAAATAATAAAAAGTTAAATGAGAATTTTTTATTTTTTTTAAATTTATTTTTAATTTAAATTTTGTTTTTTTAATTGTTAAGGAAGTAAAATTTAATTAATTAAAAAAGTTTTTTTATATTAACTTCTAGTGAGAGTCGATGTAGTTATAATTTATTTATAAAATTATGTCTTTCGAAAAGAATTCTATGTTCAGCAGACCCGAATACGATGTTTTCTATTTTTCTTAAGTTTGAAACCGATCACCCATTTTCTAGACGAAGCAAGAGAATTCATAAGTACATTTGACATTATTCTCAGTGAAGCTTAATAAAATTATCAAACTCTGCTCTTTAATTTGTAAATTCGTATCCAAATTTAGAATTATTTATACTCTTATAAGATTAACTGTATTACTTCACATTTAGTTACAAAATTCTAGGATTATTAACATTCTCTATTTATCTATGTAATAATTTTTGAAATTATTAAATTGTTATGTCATAAACATTGAAATATTTTTAATAAAAAAATATTTAAAATTAAACAATCAACAGCCGTTTTATTCATTATTAGTTCTTTGCACTATCCCCCTTTTTCCTCTTTAACAAACAAAAAATTTAAAGAGACAAATGTGAACATTTGAAAAAAATAAAAGATAAAAATAACCAGATGTGTTGCTCTTTAAACGAACGGTGTTCATCTTTTAAAAAAAATTTTTTTTGATCGATCAAGGAATAAATTCAAAAGCTTTTCAAGAGGGGGGGGGATGTGCAGCTGTTCATTTTTTATTGCGTAATAAACACAATTCTACATATATTGCTTTCTTTTTTAATTTAAAACTTTATGGAATTTGAGTAGTCATTTTTATATTCATATGACCTTTATTTTCATTCTTTATTTAAGGAGGTAAAGTCAATTTAAAGAATTTGATATTTTTATAGGTATTTGTTTATTTAAATAGAACTTTTTCAAATCATTCGAGGGTTTTTTCATTCTATAGGAATTTTTCTCCTAGGTTCCCCTCTCATATTTACTCTTAAATTTTTCTCTTAAATCACATCCTCTAATACCTTTTTTTAGAGTTGGACAAAACGATACTGGTATCGGCCAACCCGAGACCGAGATTGACCGATACTCAAGAACCCGATACCGAGACCGATACCGTCATTTTGAGCCGAGACCGATACCGAGAAACGATACTGACCGAGACTCAGTTGAGGTATATATAGAGAGACTCAGTTGAGGTATATACCGAGACTCAGTTGGGGTATAGGTGTAACACCAGCCTCTTGTTGATCACGCTCAAATTACATAGATAAATAACAATACCTTCTTTTGTTCACGAAAAGCTGTTAACATACGAAAAATAGAGAAATTAACTACAAGATTCAAGAAATCCATTGATATCCCCTTAAACACCCAAATCCCTCCAAATAACCCAGTATTGTATTTAAGCCTTTTAATTTCATTAAATTACTGGGACTCAGTTGAGCTAGATAAAAAAGCAACTCAGTCGTGCGAACTCAATCGTGAGGGCTTAATGAAATGCTCGGATTTTGTAAGGCAATAAAGAAGGATTCACTCTTTCCAGTGCCGCAGGCGAAAATTTTTTGAAATTCAGAAGGCCAAAGGTCAAAAATCCTCAGTTTTATTAAAAAATACAAGAAAATTGGGGTCTTTGAGTCAGTATCGTTTCTCGCCGAGAAATGGACCGAGAATATCGGTATCGGTTTCGAGAACGAGAATGAAGAAACCGAGACCGATATTGGAAAAAAGCCGAGAATCTCGGTATCGGTCTCGGCCTGTCCAACTCTACTTTTTTTAACAGATTTTAAACTAAGTTTATCAAAAAATGCCTTCTCCAATCGTTCACAACGCTCAAATTCGACACGGACCATTAAAGCCTCCAAATTTAAGTCGTAGTGCTACTGCTACAGATACAAGTCTTGGTCAAGTATTTCTCGAATGTATAGCTAGCCATGCTGATCCATCCCTGGCAAAATGGTTCTTTGGGGACAGAGAAATAACTAACGAGACTGGAGTATATAATTTTAGTCAGGAACATCAAGATGGTCAGAGAGACAAATTCTCCTGTGAAATTAAAGTAAATTTATTTTAATTGCATAATGATTTTCTAAGGGATAATAAATCTAATATTTATGGTGTAGCATATATGAATTTTAAGTAATAAATTTGAGTTGTTTTGTGAAAGAGAATCCTAGAATTTTTTACTCACCATCAGTTTACAGATGACACCTCATATCAGAGATATTATACGTGTGTTTGAATAATACTCTATAAACAAACGGAGGTATTGAAAAAATAAAATTCAATTTAATTATACAAAGCTTTACAAAATAATACAAAGCTTTACAATTTTATCATGTTGTTGTAGAAACGGTGAACTTCTCTCAGCCTATTAGATAAATTAAAAATGTTCTTATCATTCAATTTTTGATATTTTCTGAGATGGGTTCAGTCGATTTACTAAATATACATATGCATATTTTATATAAATTTCCATTTAATTCAGGATTTGGCCAAATCAATGACTGGAGTATATAAACTACAATTAACAAGTTTTGATGGGCGTCAAAACACAGCTGTTTTTAATTTACCTTTGGTTGGCATTGAAAAATGCAATTGGACAAATGTGACAGCCTCGTTAACTATGGATCCATTAGAAGTTCGTCAAATACCCCCAACACCCCTTGTCCCTATTAAATGAAAATAAAAATTTTATAAAATCTTAAAAGGGATGCTTTTATTCAAAAATAACTTTTTGAATAAATAATTTTGAATAATAATTTTTAAATAAAAGCATCTCTTATATATAAAAATTTCATTTTTCTTATATTACTTATATTTTCATAAAATTTATGATTTTAAATGATAAAAAATATATTTTTGTGGTGATTTATTTTAATATATCTCATATCGAAAAAATGTAAGTAGGTATTTCTGTTATCGAAAATATTCCAAGATCGGAACTATTTTCGGCTTAAGAGTTTAGTTATTCGAATTGTTTTTAATAAAATAAAATCTCGCTTTGGACTAAAATAAGATTAACTCAAGTTATGAAAATAATTTATAACTTTTCGATGCTGTTTTTAATTCTGTGGTTAAAATATAATTACAATTCTTTAAAATTTATTGAATTGAAAAATATTATTTATTCTACGTTTATTTTTACCATTCGCGCAATGTATATTTAAACCTCTTAATTTCAAATAAAAATTAATATATTTTTTATTCGATTGATTGATTACATTTTAAAAATAAATAAATAAAATTATGGGATATTTTTCTAATTTAATTTTTAATTAAATTATTGCCCAAGATCGACCAAATTAAATTATAATATTAATAAATTAAATTTATTTAATTTCCATTATTTTTCTAAAAATCCTTAAATTTATTCTTAATTTTTAATTTATTCTTTTCATTACCCAATTATGTTTTTGACATTTGTGAAGAATATAAGATTTAGAAAAGAAGTAAGAAAATAAAAAATATTCTCTTATAAAATTCTCAAAAAAATTATTTTTTTGTAGATCAGCACATTAATTACATCATTTATTGTTCTAATTTGTTTATATATAACTTTTGTTTCTGTTTTACACAGACAATTTTTGTTTCCGTTTGTTTCGGAAAATAATAAAATAAACAAAACAGAATTAAATAAACAACAAATAAATAATTCTGAAGAAATTAAAAATAATTTTCTTTCAATTTTCTTTTTATGGGCATCAGCATTAATTGCTGGAAGGGTTGCATATTATGCAAAAATGCCCCCTCTTTTAGGCAAAAATTTATTTAAAATAAATTTTATGTCCTAAATCATTTAAGGAATGCTTCTTGTAGGTATACTATTTGCCAATTTTCCGTGGTTATATATTCGAGAAAGTTGGGGGACTTTCCTTAGAAAAACTGCTTTTTTGTTAATTCTTCTTCGATGTGGATTTGGACTTAATCCAAAAATATTACGTAAAGAAATGGTCAGAAAAAAAAGAATATTTTTTAAATTAAATAAAATTATTAATTAAAGTTATTTTGTTCAAGTCTTGGACTTTTAACAACAATTATTGAAGTTATTTCAATTATAATTATTTCACATTTTTATTTTAATGTTAATATTTCTGTAGCTATTTTGTTTGGGTATCTCTTCCAAAATTAAAATAAAAAAACATTTTTTTGTTTAAGTTTTGTGTTAGCTTCCACTTCCCCAGCAGTAACAGTCCCAACAATGATTGAATTACAACATAAACATGAAGGGACGTCTAAAGGGATTCCAACAATTGTTTTGGCTAGGTAATTAAATAAAAATAAATATATTTTTATTTAAATATTTAGTGCTTTAATTGATAATATTTTTTGTATTTCTGCCTTTTCTATAGCTTATGAAATTGTTTCAGCATCAAAAGGTTTAATTTTTAAATCAAAACTTCGAGGGAGAATAATTTATAAGATATACACTCATTTATTTTTTGTTCACTTAATATTATATTTAATTAAATTTTTAAATTATTTAAGAGGAAATTTTAACTAAGCTTATTTTTGTACCAATACAAATTTTGGTTGGTCTTTTACTTGGAGGATTTTTTGGTAAATAATTTTTATGGCATAAAAATGTGATAAATTTTTATATTTAAATTAAATAGTTGGATATTCTATGGGATTTGGAATTTTAGAGTAAATACCTAAATAACCTTATAAAATTAATTGACTAAAAAACATTTTTGTTTTAATTAATACATATGTAAATCTATTATTTATTTAAATATTTCCTTCAAATATTTACATAGGTATGTTAATTCGAAATATTCCTATATCCAATTTTGACAACAAAATTTCCCCTAAATTGCATTTTTCTCGTACAATTCTTCTTTGCTTTATTTCAACTGCTTTGTTTTTTGGATTGGAAGCTTTACATTTATCAGTCAGTGGGCCTATAGCTGTTTTGTTGACAGCTTTTTTGGCAGCTTTTGGTTGGGCTAATGACAATCCAAAAAGGGTTTATATTAATTCTGACACATAATTTAATTTTCCAAACTCAGGCTCGACCCGAAGCTAAAGCTCTTTGTTTAATTTGGGATTTATTTTTTCTTCCTCTTTTATTTTCTCTTATTGGCTTACTTTTCAATTTCTCAAATGTTTGTTTTTTAATATAAATTTTAATTTTTTTTCAAGTTTACTTTTATTATTTTTTGTAATTCAATTATTTTTATTTTAATTGCTTTAATTATTCGAATTTTTATTGTATTTTTAATTACAATTTTTAATCAAAATTTAAATTTAAAAGAAAAATTATTTTTTTCGTCAGTTTTTATTCCTAAAGCAACTGTTCAGGTATTTTTATTTGGATTGGGAATTTTTGAATTTAAAAATTAAAAATATTTTTAGGCCGCATTAGCTCCGATTCTCTTCGATTTCAGCAATTTACTAGCTAAAAATAATTCTCAATTTATTTTACAAACATGTATTTTAAGTATTTTATTTACTGCTCCAACTGGACAATTATTAATTAAAATACTTGGAGAATATTTATTGTCAAATGATGGAGAAAATAAAAGAAGTTCAATGACAGCAACGGTTACCCCAACAATTGAATCTAAACAAATTTAAAAAGGAAACAAACAATATATCCGGTTATAGTCGTAAATTAACCTAAAAATATCGTCATCCAATCTTTTGCAGGACCCGTGACTACCATTCCAAATCTAGAATGTACATAAATACATATCAGGAATTGAGCCGGCAAAAAAAAACGGGAAATCGTTATCCCGACCCAAAAAAATGTCGGGAATTCCCGATTTTCGGGAATTAGGACGTCTCGTTCCCTGGCACATATATGTATTAATGAATATTCTTATTCTAATTATTTTATTTTTATAAATACAAAAATAATAAATCATAAATTAATTTAAATTGTTAGAATATATACTACAATTAAATATAGAGAAATTTTTTTTTAATTAATGTAGTAAATAATTAAGAATACTAAGATTAGCTTAGGGACAATAATTTAATCGAATCATAACGAAAATATCATAAATAAAATTTAAAATAAAATTATCGATATTTCTTTCAATCTTCATTAGATTTAACCTTAAAAAATAATTACTTAATCAGTTTGATTTTTTATCATTTTTGATTTTTAAACATGAATAAGAAATTAAATATAATTTCAGAAATTTATTAAACAATTAAGGATAATTAAAATGAAATTAATATATTTAATAAATCCAAAAATTATTTAATTTATTGGAGTAAGCATATTTTTGGTATTATTGTTAATATTCTTTGGTGTGCATTTTTTAGCATCATTAGGTGTTATGGCAACAGCCGTTATTGACGTTACAGAAAATTTTTTCAGATTAAAAACCTTTTGAAAAGCTCGTCTATAGTCTTGACTAAAAAAAATTTTTAAAAATAATTTTAGAGAATAATTTTAGAGAAAAACTTGAAAATAAAAAGTATTGGAGCATTAGAGGCCATAACTAAATTTGTTAGGCAACTCAAAGCATGAATTAAAATAGTCCTTTGAGTAACATCTAATTCAAAACGAGGGACTGTCAATCTGACAATGCTATTCATTGAAAATCCAATCAAATTAAGTATCATTAAGACAGATAATGTTTTCAGAATACGATAAGCCCAGGCATTTGCTAAAAATGAGAGGAATTTGTGTACATACATATTTTGTATAATTATTTTCATAATATAATATGTATTACCTGTTAGAATATATGATAAAACGCAGTATATTAGTACCTAGATATAAACGACTTAAAAATGTTTAGAAAAAGGCTCGTTGAGTGTTACTATCTCAAAACCAAACAAATAATTCTTATAAATCTTATACAAGCCTTAAAACCTTTGGTAAAAAAAATTCAATTAAAGATTGTAAAGAAATATTTCTTTTAGCATTCTACTCATTTTGTTGGATAAAAAATTAATTTTAAAAAATATTTAAGAATTTTTGTTTCCTTTTTATTCACCTTGATTTTGGTTATTTTTTGCCGTCCATCTCAACATTATCCAAATAATTACATAATTAATAAATGTAAGAACATAAAAGAAAGAAAACATTACATAAACTAAATCACTTGCCCAACCCCAAAAACATTCATGTGGGGCACAAATAACTTTACTTAAAAATTATTAAAAGTTTTATATTAATTTTATTTTTTATTAATACTTTGTTTCTGAAACTGTAAAAATTATTTGATAACCACTATAAGCAATAAATGAATGACAAAAAATTATACAAAATAACATTGATATTAAATATCCCTTTTTTGATTTTTCTCTTTTAGTATACCTTTAAATTTAAATTAAAAAAATATATGTATATAATTTATTGTTTATAATGATTTATTGTCAAATTTAATTGTTTAAATCTTTTTAGGATGTAGACAATAAGTCTAAATTTAGAATTCATTTGTTTCTAACATAATTTAATTTTTTATTTAAATTATTCTTTTGTTTTTAAAATAAATATAAAAATAATTGAATTTGAATTTTTTTGCAAAAATAAATAAAATGTAGTTGAAAGATTAACATAATTTTTGAGAATTAAGTAACGGAAATTTTGATAGCTTTAAAATATTTTAACTAAGAGATCAAACACCTACTACAAGACTAATTAAGTCAAATGAGGAATCTTGGGAGTAGTTAGAATCCAGGGAAAAGTGATTGGAGGTGGAGGGTAGAACATGTAAACTGACCACATAGGGAAGAGTACACTAAGCAGTCTGTCAAATGAAATTAAGTATGTAGAAATAAATGAAGCTGTAAATCCAAATAAAAATGCTGGAAGCATTTCAAGACAACAGGGACGAATTTGAAAGAATTGGTTTCCAGCATTAAATATAACAGTAATTGATAACCAGCTATTTATTTGATAAAAAGAAGAAACCAAACAATCAAAAGCAATTAATAAATGACAGGAGGATTTTAATGTTCTATAAATTAAATTATTAGTTTTAAATGTTTAGTGAACGATAAAAAATTAATTTAAGGTTTTAAAGTTTCCTACTACAACTATAATTAAATAGCTTATTTAATAGTTCAGAAAAAAAGGATAATGTTGGTTGTGGTACATATAATTTTTGCCAAATGTTTTTACCATACTTGACAACTTTTTGTTGATGATAGGATTATGGCTTAAACGCGTTTATCTACTATATAGTATTTTCCCTAAAATAATGACAGTTATTATAATTTTTGTCGAGACGTAGCAGTATTCTATTAAGAGAGAATACGGTATTCCCTACAAAGCAATAAACGCTTATGTTACGAAAATTTTTAATGATCTACATATGTAACATATTTTAATATTGTTAAACTGATAAAATAATTAAAAATAAATTTCCTTTTAAAAATTCTAAGATTTACATTCCCAACCCCCACCCTTTATTTATCCCTAATTTAATCTAATATTTATTTTACAAACTTTGTCTTTGCTGTAACAAAAACTAGAGAAGCATTAAATAATATACCAAAAGTTGAAAAAACAATTCTTATAACATTTAAAATAACCAAATCAATTGGAAGACCATTGTCCCCATAAATATCAAAAAGCTTTAAATTTAATTTTCAAAAAAATTTTTTTAAAGAAAAAACCGTCTTTTTGTTTCCACTCATTATTCTTTAATAAATAGAATTTTAAAAAAATATATTTTAATTAAGAAAATGAAAATAAAAACAAAAATAAAATATATTTTTTTTTTACTCCGCCTTTATTTTAATTAACAAAAATGACAAAAAAATCTCTCAAATTGTAGTATATTTTTTGGGTAATAAAATCTTTTGTAAATGCCTAAATAAGAAATCCTTTGCAATGGTCACGCATATAAGAAATACTACAATAACATTAACAAATTTATTTTTGTAATGTTTTGTTTAAAATATTATGTTTTGTTTCGTATGAAAATTAGAATATATTAATGATTACATTTTTATAAACTATAAATGTAGTTTGTTTTATTTAAGAAAATATTTATACACTGGGGTACAAAAGTTTATCTACGCCTACCGAATTTTTTTAGAACAATATATCTCGGGGAAAATTCGTTTTCATGAAATAATTTTTTCACTATTATTAAGCGGAGTGTATGTTGAACTTTAATTTTGAGTTAAATTGAATAAAATTTCAAATAATTTTAACCTTTTCTTAATTGAGAATGAGAGACATTATTTTTTGAATTAACATTTATCAAACGATTTTAATCAACAAATTTAACATAAAAACGTTCCGAAATACCAAAAACTCTTGTTTATCTTTTCATTTAAGTTCCTTAACCTGAAGACCTGGAGGCAACGATTGTTTCAGTTTGTCCGCTTTGTCTTTGTCTGCCACCACAAGAGTGTAGAGGAAACGGCTACAGCGGACCTATAAAATATTTAATTTTTGTATATTTAAAATAAAATTAAAAAAAGCCAAGTTTGGGTAGGGGTTCGTCAAACTGTGGAATAATCAAACAAATTTGATCTCGATCCAACAATTTAATTTTGCTGCCGATCAGATTTTTGAGCTTACAATTAACACAGGAAAAAATCAAAAACACGAAAATTCAAAGAACTCTGAAAGATGCCCCGATATTGGACTGGGGGATTGTTTGATAAAAACAAACAAAAAACTTAAAGTTCCGGGACATAATCAAAAATAAAAACATTAAATTTTCTTAGGTATAATTCCGGAAACGAACAGATCCGAAATAGGTCGAATTATATGACATTTGAAAGAGTTCGTCGAGTTGAGTCGAATGTTGAAAAAATTTTAGTGCGGACTCAAAGAGGGGCTGAGATATAGGTTTGCGAAAGCAAAGGGGAAAAACGTATTTTCCTGCCTGGTTAACATCGGCGAATAAAACCAAAAAAGGATCAAGATCAAGTCTTTTTGAAATTGCCAATTATCAATGGTGTTATTGCAAGTTTACTCATGTCAGTAATTGAACTTCTTCAAAATAAAAAATAACCTTAAATTTGGTATTCTCCCTATTCTTCTTAATCTTGACAGACTTTGCATCCTTTCGACGAGCAGTCAATAAAAACTCCTTAAAAATTAAATTTTAAAATTAAAGAAATAAAATAAAAACCTTAATATCGGTGATCTCACGAGGCATTTCAACGTAATAGCTTTTAATTTAACTTAAATATTTGATAAATCTAAAAAGAAAAGAAAAAAAACTTGTAAAAAAAACAAATACAAACAAAGTTAATGAAAAACATCGTGCCCGCTCAAAGGATAGATGAATCAAAGGATAGATACGGCTAAAATCGATCAAAGGATAGACGCGGCCAAAATCTGCTAAAGGATAGATAAGGGAAAAAACGATTAAAGGATAGATGCATCAAAGGATAGATGCGCCAAAGGATAGATAGGGGTAAAATCCATTAAAGTATAGACACGTCTAAAATTGGGTAAAACATAGATAAAGTTTGGAGTCCAGTTGAGTACCAACTGTTGAGTGCCTGATCTTTGTTTGTTTTTTCTGATCTTTGTTCTGAGTTCATGTTTCTGTTCTGATTTTTATTTTATTCGTACTTTAGTATATTCGCGGAAAAAAGTTTTTGCCGCTGCGGAGGAAGCCGGGCATGTCGAGCGGAACGACGGCAGCCGCTTCGCTACGGTCGCCGCGAGCGAAGCGAGCACGACCGCAGCGAAGCACGGCCATCGTGTAGCGAAGACCATGCCCGGCCTACCCTCCGTAGCAGCACAAAAACAGTTTTTCCAGGGAAGATTCAGATTGTTAAATATTTTTGTCCAGACTCAAACGACCTATTCAGCTGTCTATCCTTTGATCGCTTTTGGCTGTATCTATCCTTTAGCGCATCTATCCTTTGATGCATCTATCCTTTGATAGTTTTTGGGCGTATCTATCCTTTAGTGCATCTATCCTTTAATTCATCTATCCTTTGTAGGGGAGCCAAAAACATAAAGCAAAAACCGGACGGAACAGGATCATTGAGTCCCTCTGGTTGAGTCCCGGAGTCATATTTTGGGCCATAACTTTTTCAATTCTTAATTGATTTAGATAATTAATATAACAATCGAAAGCTCTTGATTTAAGGGTTATTTTATCTAGCAGGAGTGATCTGATCAGATCAACAATCAAAAAGTTACAGCCTAATAAAGATCAAAAATCACGATTTCGCGCACTTATCTAGACGTAACTTTTTGTAGGATGGTCTTATCAAATCAATCTAGTTGGTGAAAATAATCCTCATATGCAGACTATCAGATGATAAAGATCTATTCGAATTAGTTAAAACCCCAAAAAGTTATGGCCCAAAATATGGCCCCAGAACTCAACCGGTGGGACTCAATAATCCCTTACTTAAAAACGGGGAGACGGAAGTTTTGTCGCATTACTTTGTAGTGGTCGCTTTGTAGCAGAAAAAGAAAGTAGCTAGATAAAAAATTTTTTTGGAATAACTTTGATTGTTGTTGGGCATCTTTCACAAAAGTTGGAACAACTAGTTGAATAAAGAATGGATAAGGTTAATGGAAAATTTAAGCCCTCGCGAAAAAAAGATTTGCGACAAAGTGTTCAAGGCTAATTTAGTGTGCCGTCGCGAAACAAGGGAAAAGGTCGATTCGCGGAAAAAAGTCTTGCCGCTGCGGAGGAAGCCGGGCATGTCGAGCGAAGCACGGCCATCGTGTAGCGAAGACGAAATTCCAACATCGCTTATATTCCATTCAGGAATGAAATTCTCCAAGGAATTTATGAATAAATTCAAAAATTATCTATGTGATTCTTAATTTATGGGATTTCTATTTCCAGAATATCAGTTCCGGTTCATCTTTACACACTAATTAAGAAGAACAAACGATTAAAAAAGGCTAGAATTAAAAAAAATTGAAGAAGTGGTGAGACTCAAATGTTCAAAAACCTAAAGGTTTAGGCTTCAAAAGGTTTAGGCTAAAAGTAACCAGGTAACGAAAGAGTCTTAAAATATGGCATCAAAACGAAAGTTTTTGGGATATAACTTTTTTGTTTTTAAATCAATCCAAATAATTTTTGCTTTAATTAAAAGCTCTGGATGTGCTGGTTATTTTTTCATAGAAATTGATTAGTTTTACCGTCTTTAAAAAAAGTTAGGAGCCGTTAACTGCGAATAATCGTGATTTAACATACTTAGGCGGGTGTAACTTTCTAAGAAATGATCGGATCCTTTCATAAAGTTAATAAAAAGAATAAAAACAAATATAGATTCGAATTGATAAAGAAAATTTCTGGAAATGATCGAAATAAAAAAAAGTTATGGCATAGAAAAAGGCTTTTCGATGCTAAGTCGCCGAGACTCTATTGACAAGCAAGCCTAAAGGTTTAGGTTTGTGCTGAGACTGAAAATAAATGTGAAGACAAAAGAGTCTTGCTGACTTTTTGACATAATTCAAGTCTTGTTTTCATGTTTCTTTACAGATTTTTTATTCCATTATAGCATAACAACACTATTTCATCATTTTACTAAACAAACCGATTTTATTAAACAAAACCGAAAAATTAAAGAAAATTATAAAAATTTTAAATTTTTATTAAAAATTTTTTGTGGCATTGAATAATTGCCTTTGGTTGTGCAAATTGTTGTTTACCTCTCTAAAACAATAAAAGGAAACAAAAAAAGAATAAAAAGCAAAAATAAAACAATTGAATTCCAATGATCTCGATTTTTAGGATATTTTATTCTTCGTACTCTGAATCATCCCCTTTTCCCCGTACTCTGAATCGGCTACTCTGAAAAGTCCCCTACCCCGAAACAACGGAACGGTTGAGTATTAATTGCCAGCTAGCTTTGACGGCATATTTTTTTATGTTTACACAATCTGATTTTATTATGTATATCATCTTTCGATTGGTAACCTTTTTTCAACTGGTTGGGTCAAGTCTGATCACTCACTAAAAAGTTTAAAAAATTTTAACCACATTTTTATTTTTTAGATAATTTCTATTAGAAATTTACCTTTAATAAATTTAAATGGCATTGGTAAATGGTTCATATGTTGTTCAGGGAGAGGCAAATGCTGTACTAGCTCTTTTACGTAAATTCAGAAGATCACAAACAAGACAACAACTTCCTTTATTGGATGAACACAATCCTTTATTGAGGAATTTTGCTGATTTAAGAGATGTTTTGAATAAGGTTTTAAAACCCAAACTTTTAAAAATTAAATTTTCTATTCAGAAAAGAAAAATAGTTAAATACCTATCTTGTTTTTCTGAGATTTTTAAAATTTTATTTTTAACGGATATCTTTTCAGAAATTTATTTTTTAGGTTAACGACCTCAGTGAAATCCAATTTGACACATTTATCAGCCCATTCCTTGAAGTTATAAAATCAGATGCTACAGACGGGCCTATAACTGCTAGAGCACTTTCTGCAATTGAAAAATTTATTTCTTATGGTTTATTGTCTTTCAGCAAGTTTGTTTTCTACACAGTTTTAAATTAAAAAAAATTAATTTTTAAGTATAAGAATAGCTGGTGCTGTTCAGTCAATTTCTGATGCTGTGACTAAAGCTAAATTTATTGGTACTTCAAAGGCTGGAATTGATGAATGTGTTCTTTTTCAGATTTTACAGGTTTTTTTAGTCAATTAGAAAAAATATTTTTTGGGGGAAATTTTACTTATTGTTAAGGTAATATTGAACCTGACAGACTCTTTTTTCCTCCCCAATTTTCCCCCTATACTTTTCCTCCTTTTGTTTTTGGCATGTACTGGCACTTGAATGGAATTAATTAATCCTTTTTGTTTAATTGTAGGCAAAAGTTAGAAAAGCAATTCGGAGGGAAGAAAGGAAAAAGTCTGACCATTTTGCAACAATATAGGGGTAAAATTGGGGAGGAAAAAGAGGGTCTGTTTGGTTCAATATTTCCCTACTTAATTCTAACTTTATTATTTTTGCCTTGGCTTCTTCATTCTGCTTTTTTAAAGGGTTCAAAGTTACTCGAATTAGTAAAATTGGTATCATTCAAATTTAGATTTTTCATAATGAAGTCTTAATTGATTCCGTTTTTTCATTTTTCTTTTTCAAAATTTTTATAACTTGGACTATATTTATTTTGTTTTTTTTTTTCTTCAATTAATTTATTCCAAAATTTTTTTAGACTCTCCGTTCCTTGGTTTTATCTCCTGGTGGTCGACATTTAAGCAATGCAACAGTTTGCGAAATTCTTCAATGCTGTTTTCGTATTGGCCTTGAGCAGTTATTGCCGGAACTTTTACGTGTTGCTGCAGAAAGTGCTTTGGCAGATATGTGTAGACATTTATTTGCTGCAATGCCAACATTTGAACAAGATATAAGAATGGGATTAAAAGAACTTATGAGGTTTTGTTTAAATTTCAAGACTCTTATTTTTAGTTCTTTTCGGCTATATTCTTATAATTTGAAATGCTACACTTTTTTAAAATTATTTTTCCTTTTAAACTTTTTATTTCCTTTTTTAATTCTTCTTTTTTTAAAGATTTTTAATTGCTCTTTGTAATCCACATGATCGCACAAATCTTCCTCAAATGATCCTTATGGGACTTCACCTTTTAACTGTCGCATTCGAAACTGGAAATGAATTTTTAAGAGAAAACGATCTAATTCTTCCGTTATTAGAAGATGAATTGTCACATACCCTTTTACAATTATTGGGAACACAAAAATTAAAAATATTTGCTGCTACTAATAGAGTGTGTTTTTTGTTATTTGAAACTCTTAGACCACATTTAAAGTTAGTTTTTAATTTTAACTTATTTTTTAAATGTGATGATCTTCCACGATTCATTATTTTCTTATTTAATTGGGGAGCATGTCATTGTAACGCGGGTTAAATATACCACCTAGCAAATTTGTTTAAAATTATTAGACCATTTTGTGCTTTTGCTTCTGCAATTCGTCAAGATTTCAAGAGGTATAGTATATCGGGTTTACATCGGCCACAGCTTCATAAGATACGTTATAAAATTTCTAATTTTTGTAGATTCCAAATGGAAGCTTATTTTATTAAATTGTCACAAATAATTTCTTCAAATGCCCACCCTACTCAATTACAACAGCAAAAAATAATTGAACAACAAAATGGAGGTGGAAGAACAACAAATAATAACAATATTACTAGCAGTTATGAACTTAGAGAATTGGCACTAGAAGCGCTTGTTGATATGTGGAGATTGCCTAATTTAGTTTCTGAGCTTTACCTCAATTATGATTGTTCACTTTATTGCTCGAATTTATTCGAAGATTTGGTTTGAATTTCTAGAATTATTTCTTTAATAATTTTTTAAATTTGAGGTCCGAAATTTATTGGAGAATGCTTTCCCTAGTGGACCACTCCTTTCAACACACATCCTCTCTGTTGACACTGTCCTCACTGTTGTTGACTTTATTGAACGCAATTGTACTGCACGGCAACAGCAACAAAGAAGCATTGCATTGGCGAGAAGTTTAGATGGATTAAGTACTGATGAATTTTCGGGAAAGATTGGGAATGAATCAAAAGGAGATTTTAATGAGGTTTTTATTTATATTTTCTTCTAATTTTTCGAATCCATATTTTCGAATGATACTAAAATCCTTAAGTACAACGAAACTTTGTAAAAATCCCGCGACAGATAATTCCGTTTCATGTCTGAATTTCTAAAAATTCTCCTGACATAAGTATCGAATCCTGTTCTGTTTTTTGTATTAAATCTCTTAATTTAGACTGCCGCCTCAGCAATTTCATGTCACATATCCAATCAACCCGAATCAACTAATCAAGTATCTCCACCAACACTGGCAGAATTAATCAGTGTGAAAAAACAAAAACGTCTAATGACTGAAGGCACTGATTTATTCAACAGACATTCCCCACAAAAAGGAGTTGAATTTCTTTGTGATAAGGGATTGCTGAAAAATCCAATGGATCCAAAGGTTTTAATTTTTTCTTTGATTTTAATATTTTTCTCTTATTTTTAGGATGTTGTTAATTGGCTGCGTCAAAATCCAAAATTAGAAAAATGTAAGATTGCCGAGTATATTTGTCATAGAAAGAGACCAGAAGTTCTTCGTGCCTTTGTTGAATCATTTGAATTTCATGGCCTTAGATTAGATTTGGCATTGAGACAATTTCTTGAAACTTTCCGTCTGCCTGGTGATGCTGCAGAAATTGATAAAATTATCAATCATTTTTCTGGTAGTTTTTATACTGCCAGTCCTCAATTTTACATTTTTTGGGATGCCTAAAAAATTATAAAGATCATTGGATACCTTGGGTCCATGGAGAAGTGTGAGCCGTCTCTATTATTTAAATTATTTTTTAATTAAAGAGCACTGGCATAATTCAAATAACCAACCATTTGAACATGTTGATGCCGCATATACACTTGCCTATGCAATATCAATGTTGAACACAGACCAACATAACCCTCAAGTACGACGAAATCAAACATTAATGAGGTTTTTAAGCAAGTTCCAGATTCTTTTAAATATTTTTAATTATTTAGTGTGGAAGATTTCAAACGCAATTTGTCTGGAACTAACCACGGAAAGGACTTCGACCAAGAAATGCTGGAACAAATCTACAATGCTATAAAGTAAAATGATAATTATTAAATAAAATGTTTATTTATTGAGGGGCATTACTAGCGGGCATTACTTTTGCACCCCACTGTATAAGTTTAATTTTCCAAGATCGTCCTTGGTTAAAATCTAGTTAATTAAATACTATGCTGTATTTAATAAATGCTATTGAATTTCACTGTCAATTATTCTATTATTTTTAGAATAAATTCCGGATCAAAATTTTTCTTTCTATTATAATTTCATAATTTATTTTTTAAGACTCTCTTAATTTTCAGAAGTGAAGAAATTGTAATGCCTGCTGAACAAGTTGGTCAAGTACGCGAGAATTATCTTTGGCGTGTTTTGATGCGACGCAGTCATACTTCTGAAGGTCATTATTGGCAAATGTCAAGTGTACAAAGTTGGAATGATCGAGATTTATTCTGCGTTTTATGGGGGCCTTTAACTGCTTCTTTGCATTACGTTATGAACAAAACTGCAGATGATACAATTCTTACGGTGAATTTATATTAGATACAGTCGACCTCGCTAATATAGGATAAGATTTTAGATTTTGTTCGATTTTTGGTGCATTTTTTAAAAATTTGGTTGGCCACCAAAGCTGTTTCAAACAAAAAATTTTTAGAAAATTTTCAGAATTTCATTTGTCCAATGAGCCAAAATTCCTCTTTTAATGCTACAAAAAAGCAGAATTTTTAAAAACACTATATTTGAAAACACCAAGAAGTCAAATCAAAAAACTTCGAAAATTAATCGAAACTGCTCTGTGGGGGTGTTGCCTAAGCGATACCGACATTTTTAAATATCTTTTAAGATTTATTTTTCTATTTCCCACGGCTATTCTTTTTTTTCTAAAATATATTATTAAAGAAATGTATGGGTGGTTATAGAAAATGTGCCTCAATAGCTGCCCATTTTGGAATGACTGATGTATTTGATACACTAATAATTCATTTATGTAAAACTGCTATATCTGTTTGATGATTGAAAGAAATAATTTTTTATATACTAATTTTATTATAGCATAATTATTTTTTGCTTGCTGTATATATTGTAGCAGGCCAATATCAAATTGTGAATTTTAATATTTATAATTCTATAGATTTTATATATTTAATAAATGAATTGGGTAGCGAAAAATTATATTTAGATTGCTAAAATATTAAATTTTTATAGTTGTAATGCTATTTCCTTTGGCCCTAATCTACGGGAAATAAAAACCCTGAATTGTCCCAAAAATTTAGAAACTTCTCTATCGTTTCAATTAATTTCAGCAACTTTGTTAAATTATTAAATTCTCGTAAAATTTCCGCTTCTCCACTTTGAACCTAAAATCATTTTAATAATTTAAGAGGGCATTTTTTTATTTAAATTAATTATATACTAATAAAATCATATAAAATTTTTTCTTTAATTTTATTTTAAAATTTATTTTTGAGAAAAGGGGTATAATTATTAGTTTATTACTTTTTTTGAATTTGTTACAATCAAATTAAATATTATTGGAGTATTTCTCTTTAAATTATTTATTTGAAAATAAAAATTACTTGAAAGGTTATTTAATAATTCATTTAAAAACTAATTTAATCTAAACATCATACTAAATAAAAAAATCTTTTAGGTTATTAAACATCTATTTATCACCTGCCTTTTATTCTTTTGAACATTTAATTTAAATATTATGAATTTTTTATTTTCTTGCACTTTATAAATTATTCAAAAAAATTATTAAATGATGTATTAAATATTTACCGATCTTTAAATTAACCTACGAGCTCTTAATCTTTTTGTTTGAAAATGTGATGGTTTCCTCCAATCCCTAGATAGCATTTTAACCCCACCCCCTCCCCTACATTCATGACTTTAATTCTCTTATAAAATTCATAAATATAAGTACATTCTTAAAGTTGCTTGGTATAGATTGCCGCCTTTATCTTCACAAATTGCTAATTATAGAGAACACATTAAAATTAAGAAGTAAATATATAATTCCAGTCTGAGTATTTGAAGGTTTGTGTTAAATCTTGACTCCCACTCAAGCATCGAATGGAGCCGGCTCCGGAGCTGGTTCCCACAGCCATACCATCAATGCCTGAATTCACTTTTAATTTCAACAAAATTTATTTAGAAACTTTCTCGCTACTTTTAGAAAATTTAAATTAACTGATAATAAAATGATTTCTGCACTCATTTTGGCTCATCATATTAATTCATTATTTTGTCTTTTCATCGGTGTTTCATTAAATATTCTCTTAATTTGGCTTATTTTTAAACAAACACCAAAAGAAAAACAAATTTATAGCCAAATATTATTACAAACATGTATTATAGATATTCTTTTATTAATTATGGGAGAGTTAGTCCAACCGGTTAATTAAATTAATTTTTGAAATTTAAAATTAAATTCTTAGGTATTTTTTGTTCAAAATGGAGTTGCTAAAGATATAATGATTGGACAATTAAGTTTTTTGCCTAACCCTTTTTATCATTTCGTTTTTATTGTTTGGTTTATAATATTTTATTTTTCACTGATTGGACTTGGAATTCAATTTATATACAGATATTTAATTCTTTGCAAGTAAATATATTTTAAACCCTATTTTTAAACATTTCACTGACTCTGATCTATGGAATTTGTCAAATTGACAATAATTTATAGTTTATGCCATTATAAAACTAGAGACAATCTATTGTCTAGTTGTTACTCGTATTTGCTTAATTGTCTTTAGTTCTATCTGTATATTTATTTCACATTACAATTGTAAAAAAAGAAGGAATAGATACTTCATACACAGTAAATCCTCTAAACTTTAATAAAGTGCCATCAAAATTCTTCAATCATAGAAATTATAAGTTAGCTTTCCACGTTCGTTAAAAAATACCTATGTGTCTTTGAAATGAAGTGGCACATCCCAGCTAGTATAATAGAGGATTTACGATATTATAGAAATTAAACTTAAAAATTAAAAAAAAATTTTTTAACAAAAATAATTTTTAAGAGACATTCATATAACTTCAAAAAACTATTTTTGCATGTTGTTGGCTGCATTTATTTTTCAACTTCCTGTAGCAATATTGTTAAGTTGTACTTATCCATCTGTTGAAAATGAATTTTTAGAAGATGGAAAAGTAACCTCGATTTTAGGTTCTGGATCTTCACAAAATGGGAAATGGCCTGTTGCTTTAAATATGGATTTGGTAATGTAAATTTTAAAAACATTCCAAATTTCAATTTTTTAAAGAAAAACCCAATTGCTCTAAGTTGGGTTGTTTTATTTTTGTTATACAATAGCGCGCTTTATCTAATAATTTTTTATTGTGCTGCAAAAATTAGGAAAGCAATTACTGAACAAATGGCACATATGGAGATATCTAAACGTTCGGGGGAATTAAATGGACAAATTACTAGAACTCTTCTTATTCAGGTTTTAAAAAATATTCCTAAGAAATTAAATTTAAAACTTCCAGGCCATATTACCAGCATTTCCTTTATTAATAAGTTCGTTGGCTGTTATTTCTATATTTTTTTCTTCTGATTTAATGGGAACAATATTTCTTACATTACAATTATTTGTTACACTACCTTTAAATTGGGCCCCAATGTTAAATCCTTTTGTTAGTTTAATGGTTGTTAAGCATTATAGAAGATGTATTATTTTACTTTTAAGAAGATTTCTTTTTGGAGAGGTAAAAAAAGATTTTATAAAAATTTTTTTTTATAAATTTTTTTTCTTGTAGAAGAAATCCCTCATGGAAGATGAGAAAACAAAAGTTAAAATAATTAATGTAGCAAGAGCTAATAGAATGATTAAATCATGGCATGAAAATGAAAAAAAGAATAACAACAATCATCCTTTAACGGCACCACCACGTTTAAATAAAAATTAATGGAATTCTAAGCTCTTTTCATTTTAATACCCATCAACTTTACCTAAGAGATTCGAAATTGAAAAATTTTACATTATTAAAATATATTTTCTTAAAATTTAACTGTTGATTACCCAAATCTACATCTAGATTACATCTGTTTTAGATTATATACATATATACCAGAGATCGCGCCGACGGGTTAACGATTCCCGAAAATCGAGAATTTGATTTTCTGTCGGCGCGATCCCTGATATATACCATGTAGGCAATTTTTTGTAATTTTCAAATTTTTAACTTTACAATTAATTAAAAATTTCAATTAGTATTTTAATTAAAAATTATTTTTTATTTAATTATTTATCTACCAACAATTTGTTTTCTAGTATATACAATTAGAAATGTTGATTGATTTATTTGATAACTAAAAGTTTTTTTAAATTCACATTCTTCTATTCTCAAAAGCCAAAGGTAAAATCTTCTCCAATTTTCACTTTCCTCCATTCCCCAAATTCTTTTAAAAATAAAATAATTAATTAAATAATTAAAAATTTAAATAATACATTTAAATTAATTTAAATTTTCTTTCAGAAAAATTGTAAAAATAAATGCAAAAATACAAAAAATTGTTAAAAATAAAATAAAAATAATTAAAAAATTAAAACAAAAATTTCTCATTTTTTCTAATAAAAATAATATCTATTTATCAGAATAATAACAGTTATTTATATGTATTTAAAGTAAAAGCTTTATTCAATAAATTTGTTTTTGGGATTAATTATTGTATAAAATAAATGGGAGGAAAATAAAAAAAGAAAATAAAAGTTTTTCTTTCGTTGGAAAAATTTTTTTGAGAGAATAAATATTGATATATAATCTCGATATAAAGGGGTTATTGAAAAAGTTTGTTAAATCGAGAGCTATATCAAGGCTGTTTTTCTTTGTGGATACACATAACAGACTGGGAGTGACGTACGAGAATCGAGATCTCGAAAAATTCTCTACCACGATAACCGAGATTTTCGATAGAAATTTCGTCTCAGTCCCGTTCTCTACATAAAACATTACCTAGTCCCCCAACTCTCTCAATTTTAGAAAATCCAACTTTAAATTTACCTTATCTTTAAACAAATTTGTTTAAAACTTCTGAGCCATTTATCACAAAATGTTTTATTCAAAATAACTCCAAATATATCCCATTCAGCACCGTCAATATCAAAAAAGAGAATATTTCTTTTGTATGGGAATAATTGAATTTCTTCTAATAAATCATTGAAAGGGTTTAAATTTAAATAAATTGTTGAATTGGTAGAATTATCTTTAAAAAATAATTTCTAAGAAAGGTACATTTAGTGGATATCTCCCAATATCTCTCAATGTTTCCTTTTATCCTTTAAAAATTGAAAATGGTCAAATGAAGATCTGAGATTTGTTTTTTCAATTTGGCAAAAATTTAAAAAAATATTCACAAGTTAAAAAATTTTATTTTATGTTATTCCTATTTGCAATTTAAGGACAGAATGGGAATGACCAAATACTATTGAGTCTAAATAAATTAACCTCTAATATTTAAAGGCATCCTCATAGATTTATTCAAATAATGAGATATTCCTTGATTGAAAAATGTTAATTTTTTGTTTTTAAAAATTGAACTAAAAATTTTTAATTAAATTTAAAAAAATTTTTCCTTTTACTTTTCTCCTTTAAAAACCTCTGGAAAGAATATAGCCATTTCATCTGTTAATTCCAATAAATTTTCAAGTTGATTTAATTCTTGATTAGAAAAATATTTATATCGAAAATAAATAAATAAATTAAATAAAGGTTTTTCTTCTTCTTTAATTATTTCTTGGCAAATTGGAAAGGGAAGAAAATTATCGTTGTTATTATTTACTTCTTTTAAAGAATTGTAAGAACAAAGGGATGATAATGGTAATGTTTGATGGCTAAGTAAATAACGTAAAAAACGTAATTTCTCTTCTAGAGGAGAACCTAGAAAAATATAATATTTTTTTATTTTTAAAAAATTTTTTTAATTAAAAGAAGAAATCCTTTTAATTTATTATTTTTACTAAATGTCCTCATGCTTAGGGTTGCCAGATTGCTCTATACTTGGGGCTTCATACGAGCTCGAAATGAACAGACATACATTGAAAAATCAAAATTGAGCTCAAAACCCCGTCTCGCTATAAAACTATCTCGAAAAAAGTTTCGAAAGTCGACTTTAATTAAAAACGGCAACCATACTCAATATGCCTATGTATAATCATTAATTAATTAATATAAAATTTAAATTTCTTTGAAAATAATTTTTATATTAACCAGCTCCATAAGCGGGAACATCATTTGCTGACCATAAATCTTCAAAATGAACAAAACTCAGTCTCCATTCACAATGTCTAGGGTCAAATTTCTGTAATGCCTGACCACACCGACTATTTGATCTTGCCCCTAAATTATTAATTAAAAAATATTTATTAACAAAATCACCAAGTAAAGCATATTTCCATTGAAAGAAAAGTGAATAAATAAATCTATACCACAAAAGTAAAACATTCCCATCTTCGTCTTGAAGAGAAGAATTATCAAGTCCCGGCCTTAGAACAATTAATAAATGCTTTGTTCTTAAGATCTTTTGAAAATATTTATTTTGTTAAGATTAAATAAAATATTTTATTTATTTGAAAACTAGGTAGATGAGAGAAAATAATATAAGAATGTTGAGTAAATTTATGATTAATTAATTAATAATTAAGAGTATTCAACTTAACAAGTCGGGAAAATTGCTCTATCCTTTACCATATTTCTCCGAAAGTTGAAACAAATGGAAAACGGCCAACTGTTCGGGAATAACATTTTAGCCGTTCGGGGAGAAGAGTTCAGATATCTAATTTCCAAAATAACTTACTCTTAAAATCCAATTTAGCAATTCAATTCTAACTTTAGTTTCTTTTCTTTTATCACTCAACAATTCAGTGTCCAAATCAATCTTTGCCAAATTAAATATTTGATTATCATTATCCAGCATTGCAGCTATTCTATCTTCAGGGAAATGCCCTTCTTCCTCAAGTTCTGGCATATATTGAATAAAAACATTATTTTGTAGATTTTCAACAAGATTATTTTTTTGAGGAAGTAACAAAGTCCAACTAGTTATATTTAGTGAAATTTCAAAATTTTCATCTTCTTTTGTTATTTTTTGGCCATTTATTGATAATCCATTTCTTAAATTAAAAAATAATTTTCTCTCCTAAATAGTGAAACTATTATAATAGTATGGCGGAATTATGGAAACTTTATATTAAATAAACACCCCATCTAATAAATATTCAAAAAATTAATTAAATATTCAAAAAATTAATTGAAATTTGTTTAAAACTCAAAATATAATTCTTAAAAAATTACTCGAATTTTCCATTTAGTATGCCCATATCTTCATCAAAACAAACAAAGAAAGAATCTCTATATCCTCCCAATGTTCTTCTATCTAAACATTTATGTGTTGGCCTAGCAAAAAGTTCGTTTAAACGAATTGATTCTAATTCAAGTGTTCCTGCAGGGTTTGGAATATATAATGGTTGATCTGACAGAATTCTGATTTTTAAAATTAAAAAAGTTTAAATGTAAATTATTTGCCAGTGAATTTAAATGGAGGGGATTCTACTGTTTGTAAATTATTTATTAAATAAAATTATTTGGAATTATCAATTATTTAATTCAGATAGGGAAAATAAATTTTAAATTTAGCCATTTAACCTTCAAAAATATAAATTCCTTTCAATTTCTGTTTTTAATCTTTATTTACTTTCAAATTTAAAAAAAAATTAATTAAATACTTTTTATCATAATTCTCTTGTTTTTCAACTCTTTTAATTTTCCAATATTCCCTCCATCTGCTAATTTGATCAAAAATATTATTTAACTGAAGAAGTAAACAAATAATTAATAAAATATTCAAAACTCGAAGAAAAAGGATTAAATTAATATATTTCATTTAAAGAAAATTAAAAATTACAAACAAAATTTTTCGTTTAAACAATGCGCGATAAATCGATCTAAGGAAATGAAAATGCTCAATTATGGGAATTCCTTTTTTTAATAAATTGGTGGTGACCTTGCTGCTATAATAACAAAATAAAATAAATTTATTGGAATATCTTGGTAGTGATGGATATTTTTTTGTTAAATTAATTTTTAAATTTTCTGTACTTATATTTAAATTTTATTCATTATTTGTTATTTCTTTAAATTTTTATAAAAATTTGAGCCTTCAGAATCTTCAAATTAATTCAAAATTAAAAACAATTAATTTTATTTACTAATTAAAGTACATATTTATTTATTTCTTAATTTTTAATTTTTAAATTTAAATATTTCCAAAATTAACTAATTATGAAATTAATTATTAAAAAAAGTATTTTCACATTAATTTTAAAAAATATTTTTCCCACAACAAATATTTTTAATTTTAAAATTAATTTAATCATTTGTCACAAGTATTTATTTGCCCAAAAAATTGTTTTTGAATAAAATTATTTTATGATTTAATAATTAAAATGCTAAAAATAATTATTTTTTATTTTTTATTGTTTAAATTTTATTTTTGTTTTAACAATAAATTAATTATTGAATATGATGAATTTGAAGTAGTTTATTTAAATTAAAAACACCTAAATTAGTTGATAAAAATATTTTCTTGGATAAATTAAGTATAATAAAGTCTCCTTCAGCTAGTGTAAAAGGTTAGTCGGCAGCTGAAACCAGCCAGCATCTTCAGTAGACCGGTCTGATGTGTTATTCATTCACCACACCGCCTACTGCACAGCCTTAGGAATTACATAAATATCCCTCGATTTAACGAATTACAAAGTTTTAAATAAAAAATAATATTTTATTTAAAAAATAATCTAATTAACTTCAGACTTCAAAAAAATGTATTTTTATTGAACATTTTAATAATCAAATAAAAGAATTAAAAAATATTCATTTTCAATGTTTTAAATTAAATGAAGAAGAAGAAAAGTTTTGTTTTATATTTTCGTTTCCAAGAACTTTAAATATTTATTTTATTGAATTTGAAAAGGCTAAACTTTGCGGAAAAAATGGAAAACATTTTAATTTTTATGAAATGACTTCACAAATTGATTTGGTAAATTTAAAAATAAATAGTAAATGGTGATAGAAAAATCAAAATTTGAATAAAATAATTTGGAATTTGAAAAATATTTTTGGGTTGCTTAATAACTAATATTTAAATGAATTTTTAATAGAGGAAAATTTATTTTATAAAATACATAAAATTAAATATCCTCAACTTTTTTACATTAATATCTATGAAAAAAATTTACAAATATTCACTTAATTAAAATTTAAAACAAATTTATAAGAAAACTCAAGATAAGGCCAAAAATATCTAATAAGTAATTCACAGATCACATAAATTTTAATTTATTTTAGTGTGAAAATTATATTTTTGATTATTCAATTTCTACAAATTTATTGAGAAATAGTCATTGTTTTGTAAATCCAATTCCTGAAAAAGAATTTAATGTTAAGGGAGCTAGAGAACTTTATAAAGTAAATAATTATTATATTTTTGGGGAAGAAATTGAACATTTTTATTTTGATAAATTTAATTTACATTTATTTAAAAATTGTGAGGAAGACGATTGGAAGAAGTATAGCCATTTTGCGAGGCCAATAATGCTTGGTATTATTTTTAAATTAAAATATTAATGCTATAATACAGTGTAGATTCTTGAATTTTTACTTTTCTATGGGGTACAGATGTGAATTATCTCCTCCAGTTGAGATAAGAGTAATATAAAAATTATATGTAGAATTTAATGTTAAACTATTAAGAATAATTACACAAAAATACGAAAAACTTTTAAAATTTAATTTTGGAGTTATCAGAGTTTTTAAAGTTACTCCCATTTTTTGTTTTTTCGACTGTTTTATTTCGGTGAGTATTTTAAAAATTTATTTGTTTAAATTTCTCATGAATACTAGTTAATTTTTTTTACAAATACAAAACATTCGAGATTGGCCTAAAAAATTGTTTTAATTTAAATGTAAATAAATACAAAACAAACAAAAATAGAACAGTCTTTTAATTTTTTATTTTCTTTTGAATAGCAAATTTCAAAATTAAAACAGAAATTGAAGAAATTGAAGAAGAAAGTCCAAAAATTAATAATAATAATAATTCTTTTGATATTCCTTTAGAAGCCTTTAATGAAGAAATAAAATTAGAAAAAGAAAAAATTGAAAATGTTCCTAAAAAGAATATTTATTTGAAAAGTAAAGAAATTTTTCAAAAAATAAAAAAATATTTTAAACCATTCTATACATAAAAAAATTTATATATTATAATTTAAATTAAAGATATATGTAGATAACTGAGGCAAGGTTTTGTTTAAAATTTAGTATGTACATATATTCTTTAACAACCCTAAAGTCTCAAAAAGTTTAAAATAATTATTTTAATAGAATCTGAGAAAAAACTTTTGCTAATTTGGAAACGAATACTTAAGTTAGCGAAATACTTAAGTCAAGAATATATTTTTATTTAAGCGCAAATTTTCTTAAAATATTTGCATGTTCAATTGTATAAATTCTCTAATCTATGACATAATAAATGTATGGACACATCTATGGAATTAAAAAAATAATTTTATATTTCCTTATTACTTATTTTTTACAAATTACACTTTTTTTAAATAAAATACAAAAAAAAATTCAACAAAATTAGCTCTAAAGTTTAAAATTATTTTCCCAATTATTTTAAGGGCAAATGAAATGAATTGAAAAAAAAGATATCAAAATCTTTAATTAAATTCTAACTATTTTTATTAAAGTACACATCATTTATCGTCAAATTAAATTAATAGCGTAAAAATAATTAAAAAATAAAAAAATTAATTACCTACATCATTTGTATTAATTAGGAATTTTTGACTAATTATTATGACAAGTGATTCGAGTTCCTCGTATTCACACCTCGTTCCGCCCTTGTTTTTGGACCTATAACCTCGTATTTTCTCGCACTTAGAAAAATTTTTTTAAATAAAAACAAAATTCGAAGTTTTTTTTTGAAAGAAAAACACAAAATCAGATATTTAAATAACAAATTAATTGAAGGCTGACATGTTAACCAACAAAACACTTATTTTTATCAAAAATGCTGAGATAAATTAGTGGTATACAGAAAGTATGAGCTAAATTTGCCCACACTCGTGCCTGGTACTAGCTTTATCTCCAGCTTCTCACTTGTATTTCGTAGTGTACAACTGACATTTAAGGACATGGATCTTTGATTTGTTTTCTACAAAGATCATAAATTTTTGTATTTGTTTGTCTCATTTAACAAAAGATATTTATGGAATATTAAGATATTTTAGTTTTTATTCTATAGTAAGAGATACATTATTTGTTCTATAAACTTAAAAACGTCATTCAAAATAAATCGTCATATTTATATAAAAATATATATATTTACACAAAAAAATACATGGATATAGTGAAATTAAATTCCAAACATTTTTTCCTTCCCCTCAAAATTATTCTTAATTTCTTCGTCTTATAAAGAGAACATGCTTTCTTGAATTTGATGCGCTTCCAACAATATTTGTAGCTTCTTCACCCGCTTTCCCAACAAAACAATTAATTGGTGTAAAAAAGCAATCTCTGTTGTAATGCCTAATAACGAGAGGCTCTTCTTCTATTTTTTTCTGTTTTTTTATTTCATTTTTTTGTTTATCTTTTTTGTTAAAATTTTCTTTATTTTCATTTCCATCCAAGTTATATTCATTCAATTTGCCAAATGAGGGTGTGGAAAGAGATTGAGGAGAAAAAGGAGATGTTGACAATGAGTGAGTAGTAGCAATAAGAGAAGTTTGTTTAGAATTCAATTGTGATGCTACTAACTCAATTAACCGTAAAGCGTTGTTAATATTATCTGAGAGATTCTTTTTCCTTTAAATAAAGTTCAATTAATTAATTAGCTAATTAATTGATCTTTAAATTATTTTTATAAAATATATATTATTGGATGAGGAAAAAATTAAAAGAACGTTCAGACAAAAAGGAGTTAAAATGATGAAAGACTAAAAGCTTAATTTAAGCTTAAACATGTCACAAAATATTATAGACATGATTAAATGTTACAGATCTACATATATGAGTAAGTAAAAAATGCTTTTACTGAGTCTGATAAGTCCTGAAGATGATTAATTAGAACCCTAACATAATTTCTTAAAATTTTGCATTGTTTCGCTTTCTACAAGGTAATAATAGAAAGAAATAATTTTTAAATATTTTTATTAATTAATTAATTTTCTACCTCAATTCCTTGTCCATCCTTTTGTTTCCTTGAACTTGTCCTTCTTCGCTTCTCCCAAAATTAAAATTCATAAATGCACGAATTTTTCGATTGTTAGAATTGTTATTTATGAGGGAATTCCTTCCATATAAAGAAATCGCCAAATTAAATGAAGGCATAGAAATAATTGAAATATAAATAATTAGAATAAAAGACATTATTTTTGATGTTTTAACCATATTTTTGGGATTATTAAAAAAATTAATTTTTAAAAATAATATTTTATTTTTTAAAAACTTGAATGATAAAATATTTAGTAAAAGAATGCTTTTTAAATGCCGTATTTTAAGTCTGAGCTGAAAAAAGCATTCGCGCACTAACTATAAAAGAATGCAAGAGGCGTGTTTTAACTTTTTTTTTATTTTTTATTAGAAAAAAATCTTTTTCTATTTTTATTTAATAATAATGCCAATGCGGGGGTGATAAAAAGGGGTTAACGTTGATATTTTTGGAATTGGGTATAATGATATTAATTTTTGGGTAATGATATTAACGATGAGACAATTAATTTTATTTAATAAATTATTTTGGAAGTAAGTATTTGGAGAAAATTCTGAATATTCAACAAATCATATTAAAATAGTTTTGCAGCTTTTGCTTTTTAAAATTTTGGATTGAACCACAGACACACTCTTGTTAATATAGAGAATGGTATTGGTTAGAGAAAAATTATTTTTTGTAGAAAAAAGGAAGTAAAAAATATGAAAAAATATTTTTTTAAATTATTGTTATATAAAAATAGTTTTGTTTTTGTTTTTGTTAAAGAGGATGTGCATTGAAGCAATTTAATAAGCATATACGTAAATATATATTTATTTGTTATTAAAATGTCCTTATTTAGAAATATTTATTTTTATAATTAAAGTTTTATAAAATTTTGAAATAAAAATATTTATTAAAAACAAAATCAAGTTTTTATAAAAATACGTGAAAATATATTTTTTAAATAATAGATAAAATAAATACAAAAATAAAAATTCGTTTAGGAATTGAATATTATATTCAGGATTTTAAAGTGTTGGACTTGGATTTTGAACTCGTGATTTTTTGAACTCGTTTTTGTTTTGGACATCTATATAAATGTACAAATTGGTTAATGTTATATTTAAAAATAAATATTGTAGGTTTAAGCTGGGATATACTTAATTTGTTATTTTATTTTATTTTAAGAAGACAAAACCAAAAACAACATTGAACACAGTCAAACCACAACAAAAGCTTTTCCTATGCAAAAAAACATTTATCTTCTTATCATTGTAGACTAATTTTATTTCAAAGCATTTAAATGACCGAAAATGTTAATTTTATTGTTTAGTTTTATTCAACAAAATAAAAATAAATTGTTCTCTAAATAAATCCCCTACTAGAACTATTCAAAATTTAATTTTTTGGGCGTCTTGTTGAATTTTATTTTTATTTTTTAAAAAATTTAAAAATATTTTTTTATAATTTTTTGAATTATTTTAATTTTTGGCTCATTTTAGATTCTAAATATATTTTATTTAAATTTAATTAAATAAAAATCATAAAAATTGTAAAAATAAACTTTTCTTAGAAGTTTTATTTGACCAATCCTTTTATTTTTAATTTTAAAATTAAAAATAATAAGAAAAACTTTTAAAAGGAAAATATTTAATTTCTAAATTTAATAAAATATTTCCTTTTTTAAATTTTTAAATGTCTAAATAGCCGTACAAAGCTAATTTAATAAAATTATTTTAGACTAATTTTAGTTTAATAAAATAATTATTCTAATAAAATCGAATTTATATTTGTCTGTGACATAAAGCAGAAGTAAATATAGAAATAAATAAGAGGAAATTAGAATATTTGACACTAAAGGAATATTCTGAATTTATTTAATTAATACAATCAGACTTTGATTTGATTAAATATTTATTTATTTTACTTATAAAAGAAACATTCAATTTAGATATTTACAGCCTTAGGTACATCCCCCTCGTTGTTGTGTCAGCGATAGGTTAAGCAGGTGTAGTTTGTCCAGCTCTTGATTTAGATACATCCAAAAATTATTTCCGAACTCAATAACATTTCTCAACATTTTCCTTTTTTAAGAAATAATATGTTATACATTTCCAAAATTAAAAGTAAAAAATTCTTTAAATTTCTAAAACTTTTCTTAAATTTATTTTATTTTAATTTTTATCACCAAAATATATTAATAATTTGCAATTGTAAGCAAACAATAAATTTTTTTAAATAATTACTTTAAGGAAATGATAAAAATTAATCTTATATTCTCTAAATATTTCTAAATTTAATAAATATATTGATAAAAATTATTTTAGAATTTAGTAAAAGTTAAAATATTTATTTTCTTTAATTTTATCTAAATTAATTATTTAATTCTAAAATTTTTTTAAATCATTTAAAAAAAATTTTAGTCAATTTTTGTTTTTCTATGCTTTGAAAATATTTAAATTAATTGAACAAAACTGAGCTTTTAATAAAATATTCCAAATAAATTTTTAGATCCTTACCTTTATTTTCTAAAAATTATTTTTACAAAAAATAGTTTACTTTTATACATATTTTTGTTATTATCTATTACATATTTTCTCTTTTTTCCCGATTTTTCAAAGGACAAACATTCCTTTAAAATCTGTATAAGCTACTTTTATTTTTTCAATTTTTAACACTCGTCATTATATTTTTCTACCATTATTATTATTTACAGTCACTCCTCCCTCCCTTCCCCTAACACTCACTTTCCCCACCTTCCGGTCGTTTTCCTTATTCATTTTTTCATTTTTATGGATTTTTTCTAAAGAAGAAGTAAATGACACAAAATAATACTTTCCCAAATTGCCAATCATCGCGCATTTATTCGGCTGGATTTATTTCCAATCCTTATACTTCTTTCCGCTCTTGTTGTCTCAGCTTTAACATAAAAGTAAGTTTTGATTTTTAATATTTTTTATTTAATATTTTGGCTATTTAATTAAACAATAAATCTTTTACATCCCACCTGATCTATTAAATAAAATTTTTTATGAGGAATTTTAAGCTGAATTTATAAAATGATTAAAAAAATAAAAATTATATTTGGAAAATTAATTAAAGGAAAATTATCTAAAAAATTAAAATTTAAAGTTAACGATTTATGTTGGAAGACATATTCTCGAGTTAATTACCTAAAAATATATAATTTAAAGATAATATTTTACTAAAATTGTTTTAAAACAAAAATTTACCCATTTTATATTAAATCCTTTTATTTTTTAATAAAATTCACTAAAAATTCTCTAGATAATTTTTACTAAAATATATTTTTAATTTTTTTAATTTATTAGGATCATGTCCAACTTTGCGGCGTTATCAGCCTTTCATTGTTTTTTTGTCTTGTTATTATTTCACTTTTGATTTTTGGGGCTCTCTCAATGTTTTATATAATTTGGGGTGCTATTGTTTATAGCCTTTTAATGAAAAGTATTTTTAGAGTTAATGAAAAGAAATATGTGGTTGTCTATTTAATATTTGAGGTTAATTGGAGTTTTTAATTTTAATGAAAAGGAAAATAATATTAAAGAATTTTAACCTTAAATGTTTTTTTGAGCTAACGTTCAATGCTTTAAATTTAAAAAATTTAAATGAGAGATTTGAGAGCATAATTAAATAATTAATAATTATACCTATTTTTATTTTTTTTTAAAATAATTTTTAATTTTATTAAACATTAGATCCTCCAAATTGCTTTTTATTTTGCCTTAATTTCTTATATTTTGTTACCTTTGGTATTATTCCAAGTTCCAAATCAACGCTGCGAGCCTTACTCTAGATTTTACAATGGAACACTTGAAACAGGCGAAATATGTAGAAGGACAGCGATTGTTGAAGGTAAATTTTAATTATAGACTGAAGGACTTAATAAAAATATTTTTTTAAATTATTATAAAATATTTTATTAATTATTTTTATTTAGATTATATAGAACTTCTTTTATTTTTATTTCTTTTGTCTATGGCCAAATTTTATTTTGTCCGTGTTTTTTCTCAGTATTACAAATATTTGGTTTGGAATGAAAAAATAAATATTCATTCGGCACATTATTTTAATGGAAGGTTTAAAATATAATTAAAATAAATATATACTAGGTACTTTTTATTTTTAGTGGTGTGCATATTTCTGCAATGCAACAAAATGTTTTTCAACCACCGCCTCCATTTTGGCAAACTCCTCCACCTTCTACCACCACACAAAATATAACAAATGGTTTTGTATTAATTTTTTGAATTTACGAGGGATATTAAAATAGAAAACGAAAAAAATTCGGGAATTTCCAGAAATTAGGAATATGGGGAGGGGGGGGGTATACGGATATCAAAATCCCTGTCAATTACCAAGTCGGGAAATTATTAGAGAATTTTTAAATTATTCTTTTTTTAACTTTTTATTTAAAGTATTTTAATAATTTAAATCCATTCTTTGTAAAAAATAATTATTTACCTAACTAGTTGTGTCACTTCCAACTTATGAGGCATCTAAATTGCCAACTTATTCACAGACTGTAGGTGTTCAAAAACAAAAAACTTCTTCCAATACTCCTTTAAGTATTGAACAATCAAATGAGTGAATGGATATTTTGGTGAAAAGATTAATTTAAAAATTTAATTTTAAATACAAAAATATTTATGTATATGTATTTTCTTTAAATTTTGTCTATTAAAAAATAAAAGTTCGAAAAAATTTTTTTTGTTAATGATATGCCACAATAAATGCAAAAAATAATAATTAATTAAAAATGATTTTATCAATTAAAAATCATTTAAGAATATTTTTAATAAAAACATAAAAAGTTTTAATTATTGAGTTTTGTCAAATGAGGATTTTTCTTTTGCATCATAAATTGTTTGCATATTGGGAATATATTTTTTTATTTAAAAATTTACTTAATTTTTGATTATTTATTTTTAGCTTTAGTATAGTATTATGCAAGATTTTCCAATAAACTTAAACTAATTTTATTTAAAAATAATGGAAGGAAAAATATTTTTTTTAATTAAATTTGGTAATAAAATTAATAAGAATTTAAAAAATTTATTGGAAATAATTTAGCTAAAATTAGATAATCAAAAATTAAATAAAATTTTAGAACGGATTATCTTATTAATTTATTTAATTTTTAGAAAAATTTCTTCCAAAAAAAGCTAAAAATTAATTTTTGTAAAAATTGAAAGTCAGGTGAAGTAAATACCTTTAAAAGGGTTCAAAACAGAGAATAATTTTAAATAAAATAAAATAAATTATTTTTAAAAATAAAATTCAATTAAAATGTCAATACCAAATTATTTTCAAAATTCATTTAAATATTTTCAAATAATTTTTATTTTAAATTGTCTTCCATTATGTGCTTCTTTACCTTTTGGTAAATTATACGTAAAAAATGGAAAGTTAATGGGTGACGGAGGCAGATGGGCACAATTAAGAGGAATGTCTTTATTTCATAGCCAAATGGTTGAAGGTGCTGGCTTTTACAATGCCGAAACTGTTTACAAATTAAAATGTAATTGGCATGTTAATGTTGTAAGTTATTTTGTTTAAAGTGACTAATAAGAAGTTAACTCTAAAAAATGGGTACAGAATAAAATTTGGGGCTATTTTGTTGATTGTGAATTGACTAAAATAATTATTTAAAAAAATAATTCCAAACTTTTGTACATAAATATATCTAAGAACAGATAAGGACATATCTAAGACCCTTTTGTGATAATTAGTAAAAAATATAATTCAAATATATAAAAAGTTTTCTCATTTTTGTTAACTAATTTTCATATATGTAATCACTCTTCTAATTCTCAATAAGAACAACCACTGATGTTCGTGTCCTTTTAAAAAGTTCAGATAAGATGATAAAGTTAACATATACATTAATTAAAATATTTATAAATAATCAAAGGTTCGAGCATGTTTGGGTATGATGAATTATGGGAATGGAGGTTATCTTGCACACAGGGAATTGGAGAAGGCAAAAGTTAAAGCAGTAATAGATGCTGCAATTAAATATGATATTTATGTTGTTGTTAGTTTTCATTATACTGGAGATACATTGTACATAAAAGAAGCTTTTGAATACTTTAAAGAGTTATCATATGAATATAAAGGAAGATGGAATATGATTTATGAAATTTACAATGAAGCAATACATAATAATTGGTATACATTAAAGCAATATCATGAAAATGTTATTCGGGCAAGTTTCGATATTTAATAAAATTTTTGTATAATGTTAATTATAAAAAATTTAAAAAATTTTTTTGAAGGAAGGCAAGTGAAAGGGAGGATATCGGAGAAATAAAAATAAATGGATTTTAAAAAAAGTTTTAGCCCGAAATAAAAAATGCCCGATTTTCTTATGAGTAGGATTCTCGTTTTCGATTAGAGGGTTGTCTTTTTCGGTTGTCGTTCTCGATTACCCCCTAAATTCTTCGGGTTAATTTTCTGAATTATAAAAATTCAAAAAAAATTTTTTCAAAAAATATTTCTATTTCAGGCAATTCGAGAAAATGATAAAGATGCGGTAATTATTTGTGCTACACCTTATTATGATCAACACATTTCAGAGGCTATTAAATCTCCAATTACTAATTACTACAATATAATGTAAAATAATTATCTTTCTTAAAACAAAGAAATAATCTTTCTAAATAGAATCCATTCTTCATGGGGGCTTTTTTTTTATGTGACCCTTATTAGGATAAAAAATCAAAAAAATATATTGGGGATAAAATTGCAGAAATGATAATTAAGAAAAACGGAAAACGAAGAACTGAACAGAGGAAACTTCTGTTCGATTCTCAAGATTTTCTACGAATCAGCAACCCTAGTTATGAATGTTTTAGTTAAAATACATTCTTATTATATAGTTTTTTTTTTGGTTTAGATGAACATTTTTACGTAAGTTGTACTTGTATTTAGTTCCAAAAAATATAAAAAAATGGCCAAAATAGATCGAAAATGAATAAACGGGGTTAAAATTCAACAATTCGATACTTTTGCACCCCAGTGTGTTCTAATTTAATTTAAATTAAATTAGGTATACACTACATTTTTATGCAAGTGAACAGGGTGTTGAAAATTTGCGAAAAAATATTTTCTATGCGTTAGAACTGAACTTTCCATTATTTTCAACAGAATATGGACTGACATTAGGAAATGGAGACGGACCTGTTAATGCGTATGAAACAGAAAAATGGTAAAAAAAATTTAAAATTAATTTTTATAATATTTTGTGTGGGGAAAATACAAAAGTCAAACAAAGTTAATTTGAATTGGAAATAAAAAAGTTTAATGGACAAATAAAACTATGACAAATATTTTATAATGAAAATATGGAATTGATAAATAAAATGTTAAATACTTATAGGTGGAAAATGTTAGATCAATTTGGTGTTCCATACATTAATTGGTCTATAAGTAATAAACGAGAAAGTAGTGCTGCATTAATACCTGGCTCTACTTCACGGAATGTTGACGATTATCATTATCTAACAGAATCAGGAAAATTTGTAAAGGAAATGCTTATAAATAAACAACCAAAACCTTATGGATGTTCAAAATGGGAAGAAGTTGTTGATGATTTAATATCGGAAATTTTCCCCTTAAATAATGTGACTGATGAATAAAATTTTATTTAAGTCTTATTGTTAGTTATATCTAAGGATCGGATTTTTGGGTTGTAAAAACATTAAAATAAATATCTAAATGTGCATCTAAAATACAAACAAAATGCTAAAAGAGTAAAAATCTCATTATAAATTGTTACGGGGCTTTCAAAACATACCCTAGTCGTGACTACTGTTAAATCTTTAATGCGCCCAAAAAGAGAAAAGGTGACAATTTTAAGTGAAAATTGTTGGTGATATTCACGAAATTTCACCTGCGGTGCTGAAGAGGTGTGAATATATTAATTAATATTTACGTTTCAATAGTAACTATTAATTATTTTTTGAAGTAAAATTAATTCCTTCTTTCATAAAAACGTCTATATAACTGTCATATAAAATAAAAAGTTGTTTATTACTTTTTAACTTTATGAAAATTTAATTTAAAATATTAAAAAATATGTAATTTTTCTAGCTGGCATATCTTTATTTTGTAAAATGAGTAGGGGTTTACTAAATTTTCGGGGTTTACTCATCCAATCTTTGGTATTTTGTTTACCAAGATACTTTTATTGAAAGTAATAAACTTTGGATTTTTTATATCCTGCCGTTTAAAAAACATGAAACATTGTTAAATACTTTGTATGTTTATGTCAAAGCATTAACCAAAACAAAATACTTTAGGTTTGGAGTAAATATATAGCGAATCCTATATAATCTTTATATTTTGGGAACAGAATTTCCAAAGATTTGGTGATAAAACTTTTTCAAAAATTTAAATTATCTTTTTTAATTTATTTAATTTATTTTTTAAAAAATTTAAATTAATTCTAAAATTACGTTGTCTTTATTTCCAGGCAATCTTTTAATATTATTATTAAATACAGCGAATCCCATCTAATTTTTTTTCAAATTTAAAAATTTTATTTAAAAATGGTAATTACTCCATATAATTCTTCAACTGATTTGGTAAAATAAATAATTAATATATTATATAATTTTTTCAATTTAAAGTGGTATTTGTATTTTAATAATGAAAAAGGTTATTTTACTTTAATTGAAATGTATGAAATTCGTTCAATTATTGCTTTTGTTGCTTTAATATTTAATTTGTCAATCGTTTATGTTACTTTAATAAATAAGTAAATAAACATAAATTAATTAAATTTAAGCAATTCCAATTTTTTTTCATTTCCTCAGATCTCTCCATAGTTCTTGCCAAATACTTATAGCTTTGGAAAGTTTTTTTGGAATATTTTTAAATTTAAATTATTTTGTCAGCTTTATTTTGGCTTTAATTGGACAGCCATTTATTAAATATATTTCTTGTTTTCGGATACAAATTTTGTCAAATATTACAGGAAATAATGCACAAATGACAATGGTTTTGATTGGATTTGATCGTTTATTTGCCGTCAAACTGCCTGTTCGGTAACTTATCTTTTGTATTTAAATTAATACATATATTTTCTCCCAAATCCCATTTTTGTAAGATTAAAAGTCAACATTTTTGTGTCAAAATAAAAATTCAGTCAAAATTTGAACTCAAAAATTTGACTTTGTCGAAAATCCATTCCCAACTTTTTAATTTGTTTTTTTATATCTCTAATGTTTGTCTATATGTAGCATGTTCTGAATTTTAAATTTCGAGCGATGATATCATTTTATACACAACTTTTAATTTTAATATATTTAGGTACAAAATTCGAAATACAAAGCTTTATATGTTGGTAGTTGGGGCAATTTTAATTCTCTATGTCATCTATCAATTATCTCTTTATTTAAATGTTTTGGCAGATACAGATGGAGAAACGTTAATTTTTATTTAATTTATTATTAAAATTACAAAATATTTAATAAAAAATTAAAGAATATACAAATCCTCTCCAAAACACAGATAATTCTCATTTAGTTACTAGCTTTAATTAAAACAATTAACTACTTTATTTTCTCGATTAATTCCCTTCCCTCG